GTTGTCCAGTTGTGGTCGCTGCTGCATCCAGCTGTTATGGGGAGTTGTTGTCCAGTTGTGGTCACTGGTGCATCCAGCTGTGCTGGTCAGGCATTATCCAGCTGAGGTGGGCAGTTGTCATCCAGCTGTGATGGTCACTGGTGCATCCAGCTGTGCTGGTCAGGCATTATCCAGCTGTGTTGGGACCTGGACTGCAACAGGCCCATCCCATCCCTGCCACCTCTTTGCCCCAGGCAATCCCTTCCCATGTCCCAGAGCTTCCCGGTGCATTATTTATACAGCCCGAATCGATCAGAAGATGATAACGGCTTCATTAGCATCCGAGCATCGCGCTTGACACGACCTTGGCTGCAAGAGTACAAGCTTCTTGCTGCCTGTCAGCAGCAAGGACCGGCTCTCTGGTGTTGAGGATGCTCTGCTCACCTCTGTGGGGTCCCCATAGGGGCATGTGCATGGGCAGAGCTCGTGGCCACGAGCTCTGCCCATGCACATGCCCCTATGGGGACCCCAATCCTTGCTGCGAGGGAATAAGCCCCCTTTTGCCACTGCTCCTCGTGCAGCGCCCGTTGTTTGCGTGGCACTCGTCAGCAAGGATATAATTAAGAGCAGCTATTTTGGATGCTTCCTTTATCCAGCAGCTCACGGCGATGCCGCTGCGGGGTCCTCCTCCCTCTTCCAAAATAGGCTCCTTGCTTTGCCTTCCTCAGGGGTGCTTGCTCCTGAGGGCACCCACTGTGTTTGGGGCAAGGGGGGGCACACATTGGGGTCCAGCTGCCCGCATGGGCTGAGGATAAGGGGGTGACAGGGATGATGGGGATGGAGAGGAGGGGAGATGCGACGGGGTGATGGAAAGGATGGAGATAAGGATGTAGGGGGTTGCCCTGGCTCATTCTTCACTGCCACCAAGAGAAAAGGGGGGGGAAGCAGCGATGGTTTTCCCCTCATTAAGTAGATGTTGATATCGCGGAGGCTGGAGCCATCTGCTTGGATCCCTGCGAGCTGGCAGGAGCCGGGATGTGCTTTGTCAGCAGGGGCTTGGCCGTGAGCCCCCGCGCCCCGGATGGGCATCGATCGCTGCTGGCGCGGCTCTGCCTGCGGATGCAGGGGGCTGGCGCCTGAGCACTGCATGGACCCGCTGCTGGGGATGGAGAGGGGTCCCCTGAGGCACGGAGGAGTTCCACTGTGTGGGGCTGTGGCTTTGGACATGTATGCAGTGACAGGGCTGGAGCCAGCCTGGCATGGGGGTCTCCTTATGGCATGCACCGGGTTGCCTGGAGCAGTGATTGTATGTGGGAGTCACCCTGCAGCGTGCACCAGGATGCCCAGAGCAGTGGTTGGACACAGGGGTCTCCCTATGGCATGCACTGGGATGCCCAGAGCAGCAGGTGGGCACAGGGGACTTCCCATCACACGCGTGAGGATGCTCCGAGCAGTGGTTGGGCACTGGCCTTTACCTGCTGCATACACTGGGATGCCCAGAGCAGTGGTTGAGTGCAGCGCTCTCCCCATGGCACACACCAGGATGCCAGGAGCAGTGGCTGGGCATGGTGGCCACTCTGTGGCATGCACTGGGATACCCAGAGCAATGGTTGGTCACTGGGCAATCTCTGTGGCATACACTAGGAGCAGCAGCTGGGCATAGATGTCCCCATGGCACAGAACCAGGATGCCAGGAGCAGTGCCTGGGCACAGGATGCTCAGAGCAGCGGCACTGGGCTCTCCCTGCAGCATAGACCAGGGTACCCAGGGCAGTGTTTGTGCATGGCTCAGGGGTCCATGGCCCCATGGTCTGTCAGAGCCGCTCTCCGTGCGTGCCCACCCCGCATGTGCATCCTTCCCGTGCGTCGGTGCCCCCCCGGGGCTGGGGCCGGTGCGGGGCCGGAGGCTGAACCCGAGCGCGCATCCAGCTCCCGGTGTTCAAGCAGAGGCGTTTCTGGAGCCGCGGCCGGGCTGCGCTCCCCGCGGCGCTGGGCACCCGCGGCAGGCGCGGTTTGGAGCCGGTGCCTACGGAGGCGGCTGCGGCTCCCGCTGCACGCAGGAGCTGCGGGATGGAGCTGGAGGTGCCGGGGCTGGGGCTCGCTGCATCCCGCAGAGCATCCCCCTGCCCTGTGGTCCCCCGGACCCTCCTCAGCGCCATCAGCCTTTGCAAGCTGCTCTGAGAGCTGGGGGGGACCTTGCCATGAGGGGGGTGTGCAATGAGAGCATCAGCTGAGCACCCCATGGGGAGCAAGGAGAGGACACTGAGAGGGTCTAATCGAGGGGTACCAGTGCTGGGGGTGCCAATGGTCCCCCCATTCTCCCTCTCAGCATCTGCCTGGTGGCCCCCAAATCCACCTCTGTGCATGACGGTGCTTGTGGGTGCTTGGTGCTCTGTGTCACCGCTCAGTGATCCCGCAGGGAGAGTGGCCAGGGACACACTCGGTGCCTGCTGGCAGCGTGGCCGTGCAGGAGCCCTGCTTTCTCCTCCCCTCTGTGTTCTCTCCTTTTGTGGCTCGTATTTTCACTTGGCAGCTCCCTTCCCTCTCCCTTGTTAATGGAGGAGTTTTCCTTGTGCTTCCCAGCCACTACCGAGCCCTCCCACGTCTCACTTCCCCATCCAAGCTGCAGATCCCGGGTGGCAGCAGTGGGGCTGAGGTGACCCCGGGCTGTGGATCTGGTGATGTGTTGGGTGCCTGTCCTGCCCTGCTCTGCACTGGGGATTGCAGGCTCCAAGCTGCAGTGGGGCCGTGCCAAGGGTCTGGTTGGGTTCCAGGCTCAGCCACAGCTTCTCTGGGCACCCTGTGCCCCAGCACCCTCACAGGGAAGAGTTTTCTTCCTGATGCCTAAGCAGTGCCACTGCTGGGTCACAGGGAGTGACGGGGACACCAGCGGGGGCCCGAAGGCATGGGGAGGGCCAGGCTACTGCAGGATGCCCACTGCCACCTCCTTGCATCCTCCTTCCAGCAACCGACAGCCCAAGCTCCACGTGATGAAGCATCCACACTGTTCGTTTAACACATGAACAAACCACAGCAGCAACAAGTCCCCATTGTTGGGGGATCATCCCCCACATCCCGCCCCTGTGCTCCCCTGGGAAGAGCTGGACGCTGCTGATGGGCAGAACCCCACAGCATCAGGACCGACCGCAGCGGACGGGGTGAGCTGCTCCCCGCCAGCCCGGAGCTGTGGCCAAGCTCCCCAACAAAGGTGCTATTCAACACTGATGGAGAGGAGCCCAGCACCGCTTCCGCTGCCATCCAGAGCCAAGAAACAGCTCCCAGGAGAAGGGGGCCGAGCTGCACCCCCAGGGATGTGGACAAAAGGAGCCGGCGGGCGCAGGAGCGGCACCGTGCCCAGCACTGGCTCCAATCTCCAGCCCCAGGATGGGCCCCGCTTGGGTTAACCGGTCCTTGCAGAGAGATGGAGGACTGCAGGGCTTGGTTTGAACCATGGGTTGCTCCCAGGAAGGGATTGGGATGGGGCAATGCCTGAGGATCGGCGCCGCATCCCTTAACACCCATCCCCAGCATCTTCCATCACCATCATCGACCGAACACACCGGAGCAGCAAATCCCTCCTCCCTGCACCTGCAGGAGGGGTTGTGGCTGCCAGAATCTCTTTAGCACTTCCATCAGTGCCCGTGCCAAGTGCTTAGTCAGGGACTTGCAGCCATGCAGTGGTTTGACTTTGGTTAAAGCTCTGGCAGAGGCCGTGAGCATCCCGGTGCACTCAGGCCCCAGCACGGATTCAAAGTAGCCAGGGAATGGGCTTTAGGCGCAGCACTGGGCTGATGGGGTTCCATAGAGCTGGTTCTATGTCACAGCAGGGTGCCACCAGCATGCGGATGGTGGCACCCACAAGGAGCCAGGGCAAGGTCCTAGATGGTGGGAGCTGGTGTGGCACTGGGGGAGAATCAACCCCATGTTTGCACCAGCACCAGGGCCCTTGAAGGACAGCGGCTTCACGCTGACAGGGGATAATGGGTTTAAACAGGGTAGATTTAGCTTAGATCTAAGGCAGAAGCTCTTCCCTGTGAGGGTGCTGAGGCGCTGGCACAGGGTGCCCAGAGAAGCTGTGGCTGCCCCATCCCTGGCAGTGTTCAAGGCCAGGTTGGACACAGGGGCTTGGAGCAAGCTGCTCTAGTGGAAGGGGTCCCCGCTTGGAGATGAATGAGCTTTAAGGTCCCTTCAACCCAAACCAGGCTGGGATTCTGTGGCTCTGGCCCCACAGCCCCCCTGTAGCACCGTGCTCTGGGGGACGGGGTCTGATGGTGCTGGCTGTTCTGAAGCCCTCCTCTGTCATTCTCACCCATTGGCATTGGGCTGTGCCATTAACAAACGCCCTGCAGCTCGGGCTGTCAGGCAGCTGATGGGTGCTGAGCCTGGGAGCCCCTGCATGGGGAGGGAGAAATCTCTGCCATCACCCTGGCCACTCCTGGGTCCCTCCATCACACATGCACCAGGCTCACGGGTCAGAGCCACTCTTCCTGCTGCTGGTGCCCTGTTTGCCAGCACAGCCCTTTGTGCCACATAATGAATGGGATGGCAACCAGGAGACACAGCACAGGGGCAGTGAGCAAGGCCATGGCCATGATGCATCAGGAGCATCCCTCTGCTCCGTGTCTCCCTTCCCTGCATGAAGTTGCCCCTTCTGATGTGGGCACCAGGCCTGCATCCCCATCCCAGGGCTCTTCCGTGCTGCAGCCACCCTCCTCTCCCTCCTGCTCCTGCTCCATGTCCCTGCTGGGCTGTGAGGAAGAGCAGGCTCGCTGCAAAGCCTGAGTGGCACTTTCCTGATAAATCTCATGTAAATCTGGCTCCATCCCTCCTCGGGTGTTAATGGGATCGGATCGCCCCGAGGTGCTTTGTGTGCCCACAAAGGCAAGTGTGGGGTGGGAAATGCGTGGAGCTGCAGGGAGCCAAAACCACGGTGAGGGGGGAGATCTGGAGCTGCAGCCCGGGTCAGTGCCCTGGCCTCCTCCTGGGCTGCTCTCATGTGCTGTCCCCTTCCCTCCCTCACAGAGCTCCTCGGATCCGCAAAGAAAGTCAACGTCAACTTCCAAGACACGGATGGGTGAGTGGAGCCCTGCCTGCAGGGGTGTGCGGGGTGCCATGCACTGGGGTGCGTGTGCTGTGGGGTGTGTGCATGGCAGGGTGCAGTGAGCAAGTCTTGTGTAGGCACACCAGGCTCTGTGGAGCGGTGGGGTTGAGCTGCCAGGGTTGGGATGGGCAAAGCCTCCCCTGCCCCGCACTGAGCAGGGTGGCAGGACATGGGGCTGGGTGATGCCACTTGGACCCCAGGGGTGGGTCTGCAGTGCCCATGGAGGTGGTGCTGAGCAGAGGGGCTGGATGAGGTCAGGAATGGGAGAACACGTGGCTGGAGCAGCCCAGGTCCCTCATCCTCACCCGGTGGCAATGAGCATCCCTTGGTACCGTCAGCACATCAGCTCTGCCGAGCCACGCATGAGCACGTGTGTGCATGCATGGGTGCATGCGAGCGTGCAGATGTGCAGCTGAGCGTGTGTGTGCGTGCAGGCATCTGTGCCCACGTGTGAGCACATCAGCCACTGGTGGGGAGGGTGCCTGGTGCTGCCTGCATGGGGCAGGGCAAGGGGATGCATCACCCCATGGACCACCTTGTGCCATGGGTGCTGGAGCTGGCACATCACCGCAGAGCTGTGTTGTGGTAGGGGTAGGATGGCCATTGAGCTGCAGGCAGGGCCCTGCTCGCATCCTGCTCTGGCTCTGGCTGGCTTGGGGAATGCAGGAGCAGCCCTGCACCACCTCCAGTGATGCTCCTGGAAAGGATCCATCCCAGTTGCTGTGCCTCAGGTCCCCACCTCTTGCTGACTGCAGGGCTGGTGGGCACCATGGGCGAGCACCCCCTGTGCCCATGTCCCCAGGGGACAGTGCCCTGCACAGCGTGTGGCCATTGCAGCCGGATGGGCTGTGCCACGGGGGAGCCCCTGAGGCAGCCCCAGGGGGGGAGCCCTGCGATTGGCACCATCTTGAATGGATCTGAGCTGGGCACCGGAGCGGAAAACACTGACATTTCCCCAGCAGCTGCTGGGGATCGGCTCGGCAGGAGCTGTCTGCTCACATCCCTGCTCCTGCAGCGCATCCGCGGGGAGCGCGGTGGCTGAAGCACGGTACCCAGAGCGGATGTGTTCCCCTCGACAGGGGCCCTGGTGATGGGGGTCAGATGGGGTCATCGCCCTATCAACCTCTTGAGTACTGGGGCATCCACTGGGGTCTGCAGTGTTCCCGTGCTCCAGTGACACCGGGTGGCCTGGGGATGGGATGGGATGGGGATGCTGTGTGCGACAGGGCCCGCAGCAGCAGGCAGCATGGAGGACGCTGCTGCCAGCAGCAGCAAGTAGGTCAGCTCCTGGCCTGCTTCCCAGCCATGAGCCTCCCGGCGTGGCCCATCCATCCCGGCTGCTGTGGGAGCAGAGCGGGATGTAGGACCGGGGGCTTCCCCCAGCACCGGGCAGGGGCACCGCTGCCATCTGGCAGCCTGGGTCCCCCTGTGCCAGTGCCTGTGGCCGTGCTGCCAGGGCTAGGCTGGGGGAATTGGGTCAGTGGGGAGGGAGGGCAGCTCCATGGCACTCCCATCCTCAGTGGGGACTCACCCTGTGCCTGCCCTGCCTCCAGCCCCGTGGAGTCCTCTCAGCATCCTCAGGGAGTGTTTCATCTGCAACCATCTTGCTCCAGCATCCCTGGAGCAGACACACCAGACCCTGCCCCAAGCCTTGCAACATCCCCATCTCTGCATCCCACTGCACGGGCTGTGGGGTTTGTCCTGCAGCTGCAGAGCCCCAAGGGAACGTGATGGGCTGGAGGCCAAGCCCCCATCCATGCTGGCACATCCCACCCTCTGGCCCTTGTTGCACACTGGGATGTGGCTGGCTCCTGTCTAGAACATGGCTGTGTATAAATCCCTGTGGCTCTTTATCCCATGGAGGGAGGTAGAGCTTGGGGTACCAGGGAGCTTGGGGACACACGCACATGGGGGGCTGCAGGATGCAGAGTGGGTGCCCTGGGGTGCTGGGATGGGGGAGGATGAAGCCCATGCTGCCAGGGGGACAGGGACAATGGACCCTGACACTGTGGTTTGGTCCCCAGGTTCTCAGCTCTGCACCATGCAGCTCTTAATGGCAACACGGAGCTCATCTCGCTGCTGCTGGAGGCGCAGGCTGCGGTGGACATCAAGGACAACAAAGGCAAGTCCCTGGGTGCTGGCCACGGCCCCCTGCCCCTCTGCAGGCTCTGGGTGCACAGGCATGGGGGGGGCTCACAGCCTGGCCGCACACAGGCATGCGGCCCCTGCACTACGCGGCTTGGCAAGGCAAGAAGGAGCCCATGAAGATGGTGCTGAAAGCAGGCTCCTCCGTGAACATCCCATCGGACGAGGGGCAGATCCCCCTGCACTTGGCGGCTCAGCACGGGCACTACGACGTGGTACGGTGGGGCCGGCAGCGCCGGGGGGGCCGTGCTGCCCCCCCTGCCCTCGCCGAGCTGGGGTCTCGCTCCTCCGCAGTCAGAGATGCTCCTGCAGCACCAGTCCAACCCCTGCATCATGGACAACTCCGGGAAGACACCTCTGGACCTGGCGTGCGAGTTTGGCCGGGTCGGGGTAAGTCAGCACAGGGGAAGATGATGGGGACATAGCGATGAGCCTGGGGATGCTGGAGCATCCTTGGGGAGCAGGAAGGGGCAGTGGTGGGGACCTGGGTCTCGGGCAGGGGGCAGGAGCAGGGCTGGGAGCGGGGCCGTGGCCGTGGCATTGCAGCCCTGCTCCGTCTGTGCTCGCTGCTGCAGGTGGTGCAACTGCTCCTGAACAGCAACATGTGCGCGGCGCTGCTGGAGCCCAAGCCGGGGGACGCCACCGACCCCAACGGCACCAGCCCCCTGCACCTGGCCGCCAAGAACGGCCACATCGACATCATCCGGTGGGTGCCGCGGGCAGGGGGCAGCACCGGGAGCTGTGTGTGCATCCCCGCCCCCGGCTGAGCCCACCGCCCGCCCCGCTGCAGGCTGCTGCTCCAGGCCGGCATCGACATCAACCGGCAGACCAAGGCGGGCACGGCGCTGCACGAAGCGGCTCTCTGCGGCAAGACCGACGTGGTGCGGCTGCTGCTGGATGTAAGGGATGGGGTGACCCGGAGATGGGGATGCAGCACAGGGTGTTCATAGCGGGGAGGGTGCTGGGGGGGGACGACAGTGAGCTGGCTTAGACTGGTCCAAGGGGTCCGATGGGGTGGCAGCGGGGAGGACAGTGCCTTCCAAAGCTCTTTCCGTGCTATTGCAGAGCGGGATCAATGCGCACGTCAGGAACACCTACAACCAAACAGCTCTGGACATCGTCAACCAGTTCACCACCAGCCAGGCCAGCAAGGAGATCAAGCAGATGCTGCGGGGTAGGGGGGCACTGGGAATGGAGGGATGGAGCACCTCTCCTCTGAGGAATGGCTGGGAGATTTGGGGTTGTTCAGCCTGGAGAAGAGAAGGCTTGGAGCAGCTTTCAGTTCTTAAAAGGGGCCTATAAGAAAGATGGGGAGAGACTTTTTAGCAGGGCCTGTTGCAATAGAATGAGGGTGATGGCTTTAAACTGAAAGAGGGAGATTGAGCCTGGATGAGAGGGGAAATGCTCTTTATAATGAGGGTGGTAAAACACTGGCACAGGTTACCCAGAGAGGCGATGGATGCGCCATCATCTGGATGTGTTTTGAGCAGCCTGATGTAGTTGAAGATGTCCCTGCTCATTGCAGGGGGTTGGAACTGGACAGGCTTTAAGGTCCCTTCCAACCCAACCCATTCCATGATTCCATTCCACGGGCACCCAGCGCCATTCCCGTTCTTCCCGCAGACGCCTCCGCCGCTCTGCAGGTCCGGGCCATCAAGGACTATTGCAACAACTACGACCTGACCAGCCTCAACGTGAAAGCCGGGGACGTGATCACGGTGAGTGCGGCTGGGGGGAGCCAGGGGACCCTGCCGGTGACACCGGCGCCTGACCCGGCCGTGCCCGCAGGTGCTGGAGCAGCACGCGGATGGGCGATGGAAGGGCTGCATCCACGACAACCGCACCGGCAACGACCGCGTCGGATACTTCCCCTCCAGCCTCGTCGAGGCCATCAGCAAGAGAACAGGCAAATAATCCCCCCTTCTCCATTCCCTGTGTGGGGCTGCTCCCAAACTGCAGCCCCAGGGAGTCCTGTTTCGGTCTGGTGGGGACTGGGGTGTTGGGGGTCAAGCCCAGCTGGGGTGATGCCCTTGTCATGCATTTGGGGTCAGTGTCCCCACCATGGTGATGGTGCCATGGAATGTGTGGGGTTGGTGTCCCCATCATGTATATATGGTTGGTGCCATTGCGTGCGTGGGCTTGGTGTCCCTGCCGTGTGCATGGGGACAGTGATGTTGAGTGTGTGGGGTTGGTGTCCCCATCATGTATGTGGGGCCGGTGCCCTGTGAAGTCCACGGGGCTGATGTCCCCATCAAGCGCATGGTGTTGGTGTCCCCACTGTGCATGTGGGGCTGGTGTCCCCATGGAGTGTGTGGGGTCGCTGCCCCTGTTGTGCCTGTGGGTTCAATGCCCACCTGATGCACCGGGGGCTCGGTGCCAGCAGCCCCAGGTCCGATGTTGGGCTTGGAGAGGCACTTGTGGTGCCAGGAGGTTGGTGCATGGGGAGAGCCGGGGACATCACTGCAGTCTAGGGGTTGATTGTGCAGTGGTGGGGACGCGGGACCTGTGCAGGGGTTGGGCACTGATGCCAGGGACCCGGCACTGCCCCATGGGGACCAGGGGCTGTCTCAGGGATCGGGCCCTGCTCCTCTGCCCTGCGGCTGCCTGTCCCCATCCCCATCCCTGTAGGTTACCTGTGGGATGTGTGGTCCCCTGTGGCTGTCCCCACTGCCAGGAGCAGCACAATGGGGCTGGCACCTCTGCGGGCAGCACTGGAATGTCCCTCACCAACCGCCTTGCTCCCCACTGCCTGGCCCTACACGATCTTGAGGGTGCCCACATCACTGGGACATGGGTGGAGAACAGCACAGAGGGGCCATGTGCTGGCCAGGCAGGGGTAGAGCCACCCTCTGTGTGTGGGTCACGCTGGTCCCACGGGACGAGGTTCAATGTGTGCGCTGTGTGCTGGTACCATGGGCCGAGATCCGTGGCTCCTGCGATGCCACTTGGCTCCGTAGCAGTGATTCCAGGGTGCGGGGTTCCATAGCCACCCCATCGGCTGCAGCCCTGGGCTCTGTGCAGTGGGGCAGCAGCATGGGGCGCAGCGGGGTGGCTGCAGTAGCACTTGGCCAGCTGGGCACGGGGGTGCCAGCGCTGCAGCCCTTCCCTTCCTAGGATGCCTTTATGTGCCCCATGTCCATGCCCCAATGGGGAGCCACTGTGGGGCACTGGGATGTGCCATGGGCTGTACCCTGCGCTGGACTGGGCCCTGCGCTGAGCTCCCGCTGCCGCTCCTTGGCTCCGCATCGGTTCCGTCTCGGTTCTGGCTTCTCCACGTCCCTTTGGTGGCTTTTTTTGTTTGCTGCTTTGGTTTTTCCCCCCCTTTCTTTTTCTGTTCTTTTGTTTTATTTCCATTTTTCTGGTGGCGCTGAGCGGGTCTCGGTTATTTTGATTCTTTTCATTTTGTCTCTTGTTATGTTTTATTATCAGGTTCATGGGAGACTGTAACAATCCCCCAACAGTACCAAAAGATCCCGCTCCCGGCTTACGGGGCTGCTGTGCTAAACGGTGACGCCTCGTCCCATCCGTTCCATTCCCTGCCTCCACCTCCACCTCCACCACCACATTCCCATCAGACTCTTTTCAGTTCCTTTGGCTATCACAGGCTCTCCCCTAGCAGTGCCGACGAGCCGCCTTACGGACAAGGTAGTTCACCGCTCGCTTCGTGCTCTCCATGGATTCCTTTCTTTGCCTTGAACGTGTGTACCGAGTCTTCTCTCTCTGCTCAGCCTCTCCCCCCCTCTGCCACGCTGCGTGCGCCCGTGTGCAGGGTGTGCGAGTGCGTGCACGTGGCTGTGCATGCAGGCGTGGGCACGGGTGTGCGTGTGCGTGTGCATGCAGGCGTGTGCGTGCGCTGATGCGTGTACGCGTGCATGTCCCTTCCACTGCACCCCCTCGCCAGCGCTGCTGTAGCACGGCGGGGCCCGTGGCACTGATGCTCGGACAACCCCAGTGCCCCACATCCCACCCGCACCACCCATGACCCTCATCCCACCATCCTATGTGCATATCCCACCTGCAGCATGCCAGTGACCCTCATCCCACCATCCCATGTCCACATCCCACTCGCACCATCCTGTGTCCCGCATCCCACCTGCAGCACCCCAGTGTCCCACATCCCACCCTCACCATCCTGGTATCCCACATCCCAGCCACAGCACTGCCACATCCTGCATCCCACCAACACCATCCCAGTGACCCCATTCCCACTATCCCATATTCCACATCCCACTTGCACCATCCAGTGTTCGCCGTCCCACCCACAGCATCCCAGTGACCCCCATCCCACCATTCCATGTCCCACATCCCAGTTGCACCATTCTGCATCCCACATCCCACCCACACCTCCCCAGTGTCCCACATCCCACTCTCCCCACCCCAGTGTTCCCCATCCCACCCACAGCACCCCAGTGTCCCACATCCCACCCTCATCATCCTGGGGGCCCACAACCTACACTCATCACCCTGGTGTCCCCCATCCCACCTACAGCACCCTGCAGCCCCTGCTCTTATTCCCACCCTTTCCCTGTGCATGGGAATCCCCAAAACCACCCTCCAGGCCCCGTGCCCAGCTGGGAGCCCCGGGCACAGGGACCCTCTGCCTGTTGCAGCCTCTCCCACCGAGTGTTTGGCACCCCATGAGCAGCTCTAACCGGGCTGGGGCTGTGGTGCTGGGGCTGCTTTCCTGGGGGATGCTCTTGGGGCTGGCTCAGTGCTCAGCTGACCCCTGGGGACCATCCCTGTGTGCGGGCAGGTGATGGGTGCTGCAGGTCTATGGGTTGAGCAGGTATTTGGTGGGGGGTCTGCATTGTGCAGCCCATGCCATGCCCTGGGGGCTGCCACCGGCTCTCTGGCACTGGGGCTCTTTGCCTGAGCCCCAGTGGTGCTGGTGCTGTGGGTTGCATCGGGAGAGCCCTGGGCTGGTGATGGAGACAAGGGAGCAGAACCTTCCCGCAGGGTTCCTGTCGGTGCTGGGTTGCACAGAGCTTTACCCCAGCAGCGCGGGCTCCTCTCGGTGCGGCTCAGGGATGTCCCATGGTGATCGTGGTGTGCCCGTTTGTCCCCTTGGTGCTTCCTCAGTGACTGCATCACCCCGGACCATCCCCCTGACTGCTAACGGGGCGAAGGGCTTAAGGAACTGAATCAGGCGGTGTTGGGGTGGCAATGACTGAAGCTGGTGGAGGGGCTGTGGCAGTGCCAAGCTTCCCCAGGCTGGTGTCCATCTCACCTGGTGCTGGTTTGAGCTGTGCTCTCTCTGTGGGCATCCCTGCCGGCCCTGGTGCAAGCAGGAGGTGGGCAGTGCATTGAGCTGGTGATGGAGCCGTGCTGCGGGGTGGCTGGATTCAATCACCCACTGCTGTGTCACTGGTTGCCATGGGGCACCCTGGGGGGCACAGGGGGGCTCAGCTCTCATTCCTGGCCCCACACAGCCCCTGTGTCCTCCCTCAGATGGGCACAGGCAGCCGCAGGGGCATGGTCAGCATCGTCTTGGCCCATTGACAGGGAGATGGGAACCCCGGTCCCCTGCACTGGGTCATGTCCCCATCCTGCTCTGTACAGGGACAACACGGTCCCTGTGCTCTGCCTGGGCTGAGCTGGGGCACTGGAGAATCCTGGCATAGGTCTGGCAGCAGGGAAGGGAGATGCCCTGTGTGGTGGGGTCCCAGGCTGGTCACCATCACCCTGCAGCATCTCTTTGGGGTGGTACCAGCCCCTGGGACAGCGCTGGCACCCCTGGGCACGGCTGGGGACCTTTACTGAACGTGGCCATGATGGGCCCTGGGTCACCTCATCCCGTGCCACACCACTGCGAGCCCGAGCGCACGGAGCCACGCACGCCTGATGGCTGCTCTCTCTGCTCTGCCACCAAGGGTCCCGCGGGGCCGACATGAGCCCATCGCACCTCTCGCCGTCGCAGGGCGGACCGGCTGCACCGGCTCCCACCGAGGAGATCTGGGTGCTGCGGAAACCCTTCGCAGGTACGAGCCTCCCTGTCCCCATGGGGAGCACGCACCGGTGGCGGGACACGGAGTGCCCCATCCTGGCCATGGCATCTCCTCCTTGTGCAGGTGGGGACCGCAGCAGCCTGGGCAGCACGGGCAGCGTAGCCTCGGGGCGCAGCTCGGGCAGCGGGCAGAGCGCGGGCAGTGGGGCCCATGCCCTGCACGCCGGCTCGGAAGGTGTCAAGGTAAGAGGAGCCCCTGGTGGCACTTGGCTCCAGGCCGGGTGTTTGCTGCCCCGGCAGCTGCCCTTGGTCCCTGATGGGATTGATGCTCAAATGGGTCCTATAGGTTCTACCTGCACCCAGAGTGTCACTGATGGTAGTGTCCGCTCCAGGATGCAAGCTTAGACCTGGCACGATGTCCCGCTGTGCTTCAGGGGCTGCCTGTGCATGCAGGATCCTGCTAAAGCTGTGTGCTGTGTCTCTGCTGCCACTTGCAGGGTCCCTCTGCACTGCACTGCACACTGCTGGCATGCTGCCCACTGCAGCTCCGTGCTGCACAGAGCATCTGCCTGCTGCTGCCAGCACACAGCACACTGCACACTGCAAACTGCTGCCAGCATGTTCCACACTGCATCCTGATGCTGCTGTTGGCACATTGCCCACTGTATCCTGATGCTGCTGTTGGCATATTTCCCACTGCATCCTGATGCTGCTGTTGGCATATTTCCCACTGCATCCTGATGCTGCTGCTGGCACACATTGCTCACTGCATCCTGATGCTGCTACTGGCACGTTGCCTACTGCATCCTGATGCTGCTGCCAGCACATTGCCCACTGCATCCTGATGCTGCTGTTGGCATATTTCCCACTGCATCCTGATGCTGCTGCCGGCACATGTTGCTCACTGCATCCTGATGCTGCTGCTGGCACATTGCCCACTGCATCCTGATGCTGCTGTTGCCACATTGCCCACTGCATCCTGATGCTGCTGTTGCCACATTGCCCACTGCATCCTGATGCTGCTGATACATTGCCCACTGCATCCTGATGCTGCTGCCGGCATGCTGCCCACTGAATCCTGATGCTGTTGCCGCCATGTTGCCCACTGCATCCTGATGCTGCCGTTGGCATTCTGCCCACTGCATGTTGATGCTGCCGCCGGCACACTGTGCTTTGTGCAGCACCTTGTGTCCTGGCCTGAGGCACCCATGACCCCACCTCCCCTGGCATCCTGCCTTAGTGATGCTGGGCACTGAGCTCGCTGTAGGCTCTGCTTTGCACTGGGGGTCCCCCCTCCACCAGCACCCGCAGCCTGTGCCGGGTACGAGCCGGGCTGGATTCGGGGCGCCGCGGGCACTCGCTGCCTGCCAGGCACCATCTGTGCCGCTGCCGCTCTCCCCGCCGCAGCCTGGATCCGCTGCGCCTCTCCCTGCCCACCCTCTCCGGGGCGCAGCACCCGCAGCGGCGCCCGCAGCACCCGCAGCACCCGCCTCACTCCTGCCTGCTCTTCCCCCCTTTCCCGGGGTGTTTTTCAGCTGCTGGCAACCGTCCTTTCCCAGAAGGCTTCTGCGCAAGAGTGTGCCGTGGGCGATGGGCCGGCCAAGGCGCAGGACATCCCCGCAGGTGCGTGCTGCCGGAGCAGGAGCAGCCCTGGCCCTGCCGCGGGCGCGCCGTGGATCCAGGGATCTGTCTTTTTGTTTTATTGCCACGGCGCCCGTCGCCAGAAGGAAAACGTGTGGGTAAAAAATGACTCTGTCGCCTTTCGGCTGCTGCCAGGCCTTCTCCTGCCTCGGTTAGTGGGGGCCCCGTGGGGGGGTAGGGGGGCGGCGCGGCGGGCAGGGGACGGCAGCGTTCCTCCCCGGCCCCTTCCCTTCCCCTGGCCCCCCACCAGCCCCACCGCAATCCCAGACGGGGCCGGCACCGCCAACCGGGGGGGGGGGGGTGCTGAGGGCTGGGGGCTGCCCTGGCAGTGGGAGCACGGGCACGGCACGGGGGAGGCACAAGCTTTGGTGGGGGGGACCAGATGGGAGATGCTCGTGCGAGGAGGATGCACACGTGGGAGATGAGCGTGGGGGGATGCTCGGCTGCGGAGATGCACATGCAGCGGGGATGGGAACCTGGGAGGGAGGGATGTGAACACGGGGAGGGGGATACAGGCATAGCAGGGACACACACACAGCGGGGGAGATGCACACGCGGAGGGGATGCACGTATAGAGGGGAATGAACACACACGGAGGGGATGGAGATGCACATACACAGAGGGGATGGTTGCTGGAGGAGGAGGAAAGCACATACTGGAGAGGAGGATGCACACGCAAGTGGGATGCAGACGTGAGGGAGATGCACACAGCAGAGAGATGCACATGTAAAGAGGATGCCCACGCAAGTGGGATGCAGTTGCCAGAGGGATGCACATGCAAGGAGGATGCACACGCACACAGCCACATTGGATACACACACACACGCATTGGATGCACATGCACACACATCAGATGTACACAATGGAGGCACATGCACACACATCGGATGTACACAATGGAGGCACATGCACACACATCGGATGTACACATTGGATGCACACACGCAGGGAGGATGCAATTCCCAGCCAGGGGAAGGGGCTGCTCTTTCTGATTCTCATCAGAAATCAGAGGCAGGATTTTCTGGGCACCCCTCGTCACCCCCAGGGCTGGCAAAGGCTCGATCTGGAGGGTGGGTGGGCACTGGGGGGCCCTGGGGGACAGGGCAGTGTGTGCTGCTGGAGCCCTAGGGATGCAGCGGGTGGATGAGCCCCATCACTCAGTGGCATGGCTGGAGCAGGGATGAAGGCTTTGGGCAGCCAGGAAACGTGCCCTAAAGGGGGTTCTGGCTGGGTCCCTCTGCTCAGGGCTGCACTGGATGGAGGGTCCTGCAGCACCAGGGTTGGGCTGGGGGCTCGCAGCGTTGCCATAGCGTTTGGGAGCTGTGTACACCGTGGTGCTGGTGGCTCATGCCAGCGCAGCCAGCCTTGCCAGGATGGAATGACAGGGCTGCCTGGCAGTGCCAGTGCCTGGGCACAGTGCCCTGCACCACCCCTGCCCATCCCAAGGGAACAGACCCTATGCAGAGCACCCCGGGGTGCTCACGACTGCTGTGCCGGGTGGGTGCCACTGCCCCATGCCTGCCCTGGGGGCCGTGGCGGTGGCACCCGGGGGTACCCAGCTCCATCCCCGGCCCCGGTGACCGGTGCCTCCCCGGTAGGTGCCTCGAGGTCGCAGAGCGTGGCCAGCTCCCCATACACCCCCCAGCCCCCCGCCGAGCCCCAGCTGAAGAAAATGGAGCCACCATCAGAGGGGAAGGTGAGTGGGGAGCACGGGGCTGGGGAGACCCCGGGGAGGGGGGCACAGGTCCAGCACCCATCGCCGCAGGTGGCAGCGCGGTGATGCTGGCACGGCTCTGATGCCTTTGCCGTGCCATGAACCAGTGCTGTGAGTGACCCCATGGCCCCAGCCCCTGCACACCCCATGGCACAGACCCTGCTGGCACACGGATGGATGTGGGGCAAGCCCAGGTTATGGGTCCCCATCCCTGGGGGCTGCCCTGATCCCTGCTGTCCCTCTCGCTGCCCCAGAGCTCGGAGGCCGTGTACCAGTGGCTCTGCAAGTTCCAGCTGCAGCTCTATGCACCCAACTTCATCAACGCCGGCTACGACATCACCACCATCAGCCGCATGACGCCCGAGGTGAGCCCATGGGCTGGCGGTGCCATGGGGAGGGTGGCACAGTGCTGTGGGGTGGCCCTGACCCCTCGCTCTGCCCCAGGACCTCACGGCCATCGGTGTCACCAAGCCGGGGCACAGGAAGAAGATTGCGTCTGAGATCAACAACCTCAGCATCCCCGAGTGGCTGCCGGAGTACAAACCGGTAAGGGCTGCGTGGGGATAGGGATGGGGATGGGGAAGCCACATCCAGGGTGGAAACTGGTCCCCTGCACCCTGTCCCCTTCAAGCAAGGGTTGCAGAGGGGGATGAGGGTGGGCAGTGCCAGATGGTGCCAACATCAAGCTTAAACAGGGGAGGTTTAGGTTGGATATAAAGAAGCTCTTCCCTGTGAGGGTGCTGAGGCGCTGGCACAGGGTGCCCAGAGAAGCTGTGGCTGCCCCATCCCTGGCAGTGCTCAAGGCCAGGTTGGACACAGGGGCTTGGAGCAAGCTGCTCCAGTGGAAGGGGTCCCTGCTTGGAGCTGGGTAAGCTTTAAGGTCCATCAGGATGGGATCACCGCCATAACGTGGGTGCTGTGCTGCCATCCAGCACTGAGCTGTGCCCCGTGTACCCCCCAGGCCAACCTGGCGCTGTGGCTCTCCATGATCGGCCTGTCCCAGTACTACAAGGTGCTGGTGGAGAACGGCTACGAGAACATCGACTTCATCACCGACATCACCTGGGAGGACCTGCAGGAGATCGGCATCACCAAGCTGGGTAAGGTCCGGTGCTGCTGCTCCCGCTGCGGTGCCTCCATCCCCGGTGGCGATGCTGATGCCCCCGTGCCACCCCCAGGCCACCAGAAGAAGCTGATGCTGGCGGTGAAGAAGCTGGCGGAGCTGCAGCGCGCCGAGATGGGCAAGTACGAGCCGGGCACATTGAAGAGGAAGGGGGCCGCCGCGGCGTGCCCGGAGGTGCTGGCCATCGAGTCCCCCCCGCCGGAGCCCCCCGAGTGCCAGTCGCCCAAGATGACCACGTTCCAGGACAGCGAGCTCAGCAGCGAGCTGCAGGTGGCCATGACGGCCGAGGGCCCCGAGGAGCCCGCGGAGAAGGCGGCGAACCCGGCGGGCGCGGTGACGGGGCTGGGCGGCCGCGCCAGGGTGATGAGCAGCTCGCAGGAGCTGCTGGGGGACGGCCCCCGCGGAGCCCCCGCCGCGGCCATCTCCAAGAGCCAGGAGTACCTGGCCGATGGGGCCGGTGAGGGCCAACCCGCGCCGCACAAGGAGGGGCGGCCGCCGCGGCACGGCCACCCGGTGAAGCGCGCCAGCGTGCCGCCCGTGCCCGGCAAGCCCCGGCAGCCCTTCCCTGCCACCAGCGGGCAGCTGACACCGCCGCAGACCCCCGGCAAGCCGCGGCCCCCATCCCCGCAGGGCCCGTCCGTGCCCCACGCCACTGCCAAGGTGAAGCCGACCCCGCAGCTCCTGCCACCGGGTGAGCGCCCCGCGTCACCGCGCTCGCTGCCGCAATCCCCGACGCACCGCGGCTTCGCCTATGTCCTGCCGCAGCCCGCCGAGGGCGAGGGCAGCCCCGCGGCCGTGCCCGTGCTGCCGGTGTCGGTGCCGGTGCTGTGCCTGCCGCCCGCGAGCGAGGGCGAGGAGGAGCCGGGCCGGCCGAAGAAGCGGGCGCACAGCCTGAACCGGTACGCGGCCTCCGACAGCGAGCAGGAGCGGGATGAGCTGCTGGTGCCGGACGCGGGGCCCTACGCCACGGTGCAGCGGCGCGTGGGGCGCAGCCACTCGGTGCGGGCCCCCGCCGGCGGCGACAAGAACGTCAACCGCAGCCAGTCCTTCGCCGTCCGGCCCAAGAAGAAGGGGCCGCCGCCGCCACCGCCGAAGCGCTCCAGCTCTGCCATCTCCAGCGCCGGCATGGCCGAGGACTTCCCCAAGGATGGCGAAGGAGAGGCGGCCACCAGGGCCCCCGCCGCTGCCAATGGGGAGAGCCGCCGCGAGCAGCGTCGGGCCAGCGACCTGGGCGGCAGCGTGGACACGGGCAGCGCGGGCAGCGTGCGCAGCATCGCGGCCATGCTGGAGATGTCCTCCATCGGCGGCGGGGCGCGGGCGCTGGCGCTGCAGAAGCCGCACGGGGCCCCGGTGCCGGCCAAGGCGCCCGATGGCTACTACCTGCAGCCAGGACCCCCGCCGGGCAGCCCTGACCGCGCGCGCGTGGCCACCGTCCTGGCCACCGTCAAGCACAAGGAGGCCATCGGGCTGGATGGGGAGGTGGTGAACCGGCGCCGGACCATCAGCGGCCCCGTCACCGGGCTGGTGGCAGCCGCCCGCCGCGAGCGCGCTGACAGCGTGCGGTCAGAGACAGGCACCGACGGCGCCGGCGAGCGGCTGCGGGTGGAGCGCGGCGGCTCCCCCGACGGCATCCCCTTCGCCGAGGAGGGCACCCTCACCATCAAGCAGCGGCCGCGGCCACTGGGGCCAGTGCGGGGAGAGGCGGGCGAGGGGCTGTCCCCAGCGCACCGCCACGGGGACCTGGCCAAGGTGGAGGCCAGCGCCACGCTCAAGCGCCGGATCCGGGCCCGGCAGAGCCAGCAGGATGGAGTCCGCTTCGTGCTCACCGAGTCCGACACCGTCAAGCGCCGGCCCAAGGCCAGGGACAAGGAGCCGGCGCTGGAACCGGCCTCGCTCGCCGTCTACCAGAACGGCACCGGCACCGTGAAGCGGCGGCCGGCCTCGGAGCTGAGCGGGGCCGAGCCTCCCGCCACCCCACCGCCCGCTGCCCGCACCGATGGCCCCGACTACACCGCGCCGCCCGTCGAGCACAAGAAGCCCTTCAAGCCACCGGTGTCCCCCAAGCCCGTGCTGGCTCAGCTGCCGCAGAAGGTGCCCGGGCCGCCCACACCCATCCCCAAAAAGGTGCCCATCCCAAGCCCCGGCAGCCCAGGTAGGTGCCAACCCCCCCCAGCCCCGCTCCCCAGTGGGGGGGCACCGCGCATCCCACCACCCCTGTGCCCCTTCTCTCCGCAGAGGTGAAGCGGGTCCATGGCACGCCGCCGCCGGTGTCCCCCAAGCCCACGCCGCCCCCCACGGCGCCGAAGCCCCCCAAGCCCCACGCCGCCATCCAGTCGGTGAGCGCCGGCTCGACGCCGGCCCCATCACCGGCGCGGCAGCTGGGTGCCGGCACGGCCAAGCCGTCCAGCACGCCGCCCTCGCTGTGCTCCAGCCCCGCCAAGCCGCTGTCGCCCGGCGCGCAGCCCGTGCCGGTGAAGCCGCCGCGCTCCGCCATCGCCAGCCCCTCCGTGGACAGCGCCGGCTCCGAGCTGGCACAGCAGAAGCTGGAGGAGACGAGCGCGTCCCTGGCCGCGGCGCTGCAGGCTGTGGAGGAGAAGATCAAGCAGGAGGACAGTCAAGCGCCAGAGTAAGGGCTGAGGGTGGCCGGTGTCAATGGGGAGAGCACGGGGCTGTGATGGGCATGGGGATGGAGCGGGACGGGAGGTAACGGGGGTTTGGGCTGTGCCACCATGGTGGGAGTGGGACTGTGCTGGGGTGATATTGGAAGGATGCTCTTCAAGAGCATCACGAGCCTTTGGTTGGAACCGCATTGAGGAGGCGACCCTGGAGGGGGCACCAGTTCCAGAGCAGCACGAGTAGGGATACCCAGGTATTGGGTGCACTGTCTTGGAGAGGTAGCGATGGGGAAACTTGAACTGGAGCGTACTGGGGCTGGGTTGGACCCATGGGGATGTGACACTGGGGAACGTGTGCTGGAGCAGAGTGGACAGGGAGACCTGGGCACGTGGGTGCACTTAGAGAGGTAACGTTACGGGACCTTAAACCAGAGCATGGACCCAGCCATGCAGTGATGCTGGGGAGGTGACACTGAGGAGGTGACCCTGGGGACAGGGTGCTGAGCTCTGCAGGACAGAAGGGGCAGGAGGGCCATGGCATGGAGCAGGGGGGGGTTGTACAGTACAGTTGCCCCCATACATGTCCATGACCTATCCCCACCTCTCCCCCAGCTCTGCCGCGGAGTCGAAGAGCACCGTGAGCATCCTGGACGACATCGGCAGCATGTTCGATGACCTGGCGGACCAGCTGGATGCCATGCTGGAGTGAGGGGCGCCAGGGCCCCCCGAACCTCAGGGCTTACGTGGGCACAAGGGCACAACGATCCACGACCCCCCCCCACCCCGGCCCCGCCGCCCTCCTCCCCTTTGTACAGCCGTCCCCTCCCGGACATCCCGTCCCTCGGGGTTTGCACAAAGAAGAAGATACCTCAGGATTGTGCTCACGGACTCGGCGCGGCTCCGGCAGAGCTTTTGCAGCAGCAAAAAAACCACCCCAACACCAGAAGCAGCAAAGCAGCGCATCCCGGATGGACACGGTGCCGGTGAGGAGGGGGTCCTCGACAGCTCCGGTGCCGCGGCTCACCGCGAATGTAGCACAAGCCCTGCCCCGGCGCCGTGTGCCACCGGCCGATGGCACCGCAGGTGACGGCTCCGGGTGGGCAAATGCACTTGGGTTTCTTTTCTCCTCATTTCTTTTAACTCTTCCTTCCCCCTCCGCTGCGGTTGGCGGCGGCGCAGGGGCCGGGGCTGCCCCATGGAGGGATGCTGGGGGGGCAGCGGGACGTGCCCCTGCCTGGCCCCTCCTCGCAAAGGGGGGGACAGGACAGTGATAAGCTATAAAGAAGTATTAATTTATTGGAGGGGAAGGAAAGAAAGATATAAAGCAGATTTCCCTCCCCCTTCAGCCTCCCCCCCCTCCCCAGATGATAAAAAGAATAAACTTTAACAAATATATATTTAAAAGATTTAAAAGTATTAGCAATTATATATAAAGCAGTTTAAAAGAAATCAAGAGAAAACTGGATTTTAGCTTGAGAAGAAGAAGAAGAAGAAACAAAACACTATTAGATTATTACTAAGCTGTGTGTCTTGTGGCAAACTCATTCTCCGAGTAGCACAATATTTACCTGTTCTCTGGGTGGAAGGCTCGTGCAAGCGGTTTCGTTCCGTTGGGATTCAGTGTCGGCGTCTTTCTGTTCTACTCCACCGTTCCGAACTCAAAGGATGTGCCTTGTTTTCTGGAGGTTTTTGTTACTCCTTCTCCTGGAGGTGGTTCATTTCCTTTGGAGCGTCTTCAGGCTTGGGTTGGGTTTCTTTCTATCCGTTCCTTATGGCCTCCGTTGGGGTGTGCGTGGGGTGTCTGTGTGCGTGCGAGCGTGCGTGTGCTGCGGGTGCTCATCCCGGTGTATATTCCTGTATAAACTGGAGTTGGAGTCTGGTTCAGTCGCTTGAGTCCTGATGAATGCATCTCTCTGCTTGTGGGGTCCAAAGTGTTGCTGGTCCTTTCTCTACCAGAGGCTACGCAGTGGTCTCCATCCCCCTGCCTTCCTCCTCCTCTTCCTCTCTATCCACCCCCTTGCCCCCTCCCCTCCCTCCCGTTGTGGTCGCTGATCCAGATGTGTTTGGCACAACTTTGACATTTCTTTACAAAAGAGGAAAAAAAAAAACAACCAAACAAAAAAAAAATGACAAAAAAGACTTTAAAAATAGCAAAAAAATAATGATAAAAAAAAAAATCACTCGCCTGAAAATATATGTTGAAAAAAAAAAATGTATCTAAACCAGAAACCCCCATAAAGTTCTACATGATGGATATATACATATATATATTTTTTATGATTAAGTTATGGACTCTGTATCGTATCCCATCTGTCGAGCTATGCATCTTGGTGCTTCTCCCCGCTCTCCTGTGCTTAGATTTCACCTCTACTCGTCTTATTCTCCCTATTCTGAATAGTAGGTGGCTCGTGGTGCTGTGAAGAAGTTTGCTCCTATACCAGTCTGGCAACAACTATTTAAAGAAAAATAAAAGAAACTAAAACCCTGCGGGCTGCCAGCACTGTTTGTGTCCAAACAGCAGCAATGGGGTGAGGTGGAGCCTGTGGGTGCTATGGGTGCTATGGGTGCTGGGTCGTGGTGGGTGTTACACTGTGAGGTGCAACAAGGGTGGGTGACAACAGCAGCAACCATGGGGCAAGCCCCAGCACAGAGACTGGGGGGAATGCATTGAGCAGCGCCTTGGTCAGCCTGAAGGAGACCTTAGAGCAGCTCCAGTGCCTAAAGGGGCTGCAGGAACCTGGAGAGGGGCTTGGGACAAGGGCCTGTAGGGACAGGCCAAGGGGAATGGCTTGAACCTGCCCGAGGGGAGAGCTCTTAGGCAGAAGCTCTTCCCTGTGAGGGTGCTGAGGCGCTGGCACAGGGTGCCCAGAGAAGCTGTGGCTGCCCCATCCCTGGCAGTGCTCAAGGCCAGGTTGGACACAGGGGCTTGGAGCAAGCTGCTCCAGTGGAAGGGGTCCCTGCCTGTGGCAGGGGTTGGAGCTGGAGGAACTTTAAGGTCTCTTCAACCCAACCCAGGCTGAGACTGTATGAACTCACCTCCCCATGTCCCTGCACCCCTCCAGGATGAACAGTGCAGCTCTCAGCAGCACAGGATGGATGCAGGAGGTGCCCCAGGCCTAGTGCTGGTGCTGGCCCCCACCACGAGCCCACAGTAACTCACACTGTCCAGGAACAACTCTTTCCACTTTTATTGTCAATGAAGAAATAATCAAATCTATATTACAATCTTAAAAACAGTAGAAAATGTGAGTAAAAATGCAACGGAGTCTTTTTAATGTGGAGACCATTATTACATGGTGGTGAACGATGGGTTTGTGTTATTTGATTTGAGAACTAGCTGTGGCATAAAAATCGTACCTGGCTACTCAAGGAAACACCTCTTCCCACACGATCAGCCTGACATCGTGGCAGTAAAATTAAATACTAGAGACAGAAAAGGGGTCAGGGTCCAACCCAGGGCAAGGCCTAATGCTCAGTTCTACCACTGACAAGGGCACAGCCTCCTCCCACTGTCACTGCCCTGGCTGGGCTGGCTCCTGTCTGTGATAACTGAGCCATTCATCCCATCGGTGGCCCAAGGGCTGTGCTGCAGCCACACCGGTGCCCCATGGGCTGGAGGCCTGGCCCTGGCCCCAAAGGCTGCTCCCTGGCAGGGAAGATGCAGGGAGAGGAGTGCAGCCTGTGGTGATGGAGGTGCTGGCACCACAACAGCGGATCTGAGGGAACATCTGGAGCAGCCATGGCCTGGAGCCATCCTGAGAGCTGCCAGCGGGGTCCGTGGGGTGGGAACCGGCCGGTGGGCAGCAGCGGGCAGTGGTCGGTGTGGAGAGGAGCTGCAGCAGTTGCTCTGGAGCAGTGGTGTCACCCAGCAGGCGACAGAGGGCAGGAGTTTTTGGTCTTTCAGTGTGCAGGACTAGGGTGGTGCTCTCGCTAGCACGTCCAGACCTGCGGTGCAGACAAGAGCCATGGTAGTGACTGTTCTGAGCAGCTCTGGGGGCTTCTCTTCAGCCTCTTGTGGAGCTCCCTTTGGGCTTCCAGCACCCACAACGCCCTCTGCCAGGAGTTAAACCTCCCACCCACAGAGAACCATCCCTTGTTTGTTTGAAGATGGCTCCTAACTCATGTAATGCCCCAAGTCCTAGGACTGGAAGAGACCAACCCATGGAGGAGAAGCCTGAGGGAACCAACCTTTACAGTGCTGTCCACGGCGCCGGAGAAGAGGCGGCCCCTGGAGACTGCGAGGGCAGTGACACTACCCTGGTGTCGCAGCAGCGTCTGGGTACAGATCATGTTGTCCATGCTCCACACCTATGGGGACACAGAGCTGTGAGCCAAGCGAGTGGCACAGGGTCTGGCACAACCCTGAGCGCCAGGAGGGATGGGAGATGCTGTGTGACACCAGTGACATGGTGCATGCAGGGGGGAGGATGAAGGGATGATGATGCAGAGGTAAAGATGCAGGGATAAGGATGAAGTGATGAGGATTTCCCAACCTTCCTTTCCAAGGCTGTCCCTGCAGATCCCCCTGGCCACGTACCCTTAGAGACCGGTCGTATGATGCACTGAAGACTTTGGTTTGATCCGGTGTGGAGATGACAGCGAGGGCATAGACTGTCCCCACGTGCCCAGTCAGCGTGCGGACCTGCTCCTTTGTCTCTATATCCCAGACCTGTGAGATAAGAGCAGGGCCTGGAGGCTGCAGCAGGCTGCAGGCCACCAGCTTCTCCTCCCAGAGGTGTTTCCACCTCCATGCACGTCTTCAGGGTGGGCGCAGTGCCATGGAGAGGACAGGCAGCGACAAGCCCCCATCTCCTTGCCCAGCCTCAAGCCAAGCAATGCCTCCAAGCCCTCAGCCCTTACGTGGATGAGGTTCTCGTAGGTGCCACACACGATGTGGTGGTTGGTCACAGCGATGGAGTAGACGCTGCCTCCTGATGTCTGCAGCACGTGGACACACTCCAGGTTGCGGATGTCCCAGATCTGAAAGAGAAGTCGGAGCAGAGGCAGGATGAGACCCATGCAGGGACCCTTTTCCAGGGCAGAGCAGCACTGAGTCACCCTGTGTGCCCACACTGCAGGTGTATCCAGCTGGGGATGGTCAGTACCGATGAGCAAAGTCCTGTGACCTGATGTCACTGCCCAGCTTTGCACATCAGGGCTGAAGAAGCTGGGAGACCGCACCCCCTCTGCGTGTGCGGGTGCACACAACCCCGTCCCGGATGGCACCAAAACCAGCCTCAGGGTCCCACCTTGATCGTTTGGTAGGAGCCACTGTAGAGATAGTTCTGAGAAGCCACCAGCGCCCGCACCCAGTGGTTGAGGCCTGTCAGCTCCTTCTTCAGCTTCAGCTCGGTACCTACGATGTCCCAGACCTGCAGCAAGCACAGACAGACCCACGGACATGCAGGAGGCTCTCAGTGGGACTGGGGCAGCCTCCAGCACTGCCCACCCCTGCCCAGCCAGCACAATGCTCACTATGGGGAACCTTGTGCTGGTTCTGCCTGGTGGGAACTGCCTGAACCCACTGCCTCGCAGATAAACCACACAATCACTGTGCTGAATAAGCATGCTCCTAATGGCCTGGGAGAGCCAGCTTGGAGCCTGCATTATCACTGCCAGAGCCCCTTCCCTAGCAGGGAACCCTAAACCAAACCTACAGTAAAGAACTGCAATGGATTACACTCCCAGCCTGTCCCAAGCTCCATTCCCACAGCTCCTGGAAAATGATGCTTGAAACCCTCAGCACAGAGGGACCAGCAGAGCTCACTCCCTATTTCAAGCAGAGCTGCTCAGCTCCTCTGGCAGAAAGTGGCTGAGGATAACAAAAGAAAAGGCCCCAGGTTCTCCTTCTGCTCAGGGCTGTCTCATTGCTCCTCCAGGCCCCAGATGAAGAAAAGAGCATGTGCCTTCCTACAGACGAACGGCCCCATAAGCCTCACACCAGGAGCTGGAAGCAGAACCAAGGGAATCCAGCCAAGGCTTTAAAGGGCAACTTGCAAAGCTGTTCCCTGATTTCTGCATGCTTTAGGTAAAGAATGCAGATCCATGATCCTCTGGAGGGGGTTTCAAAACAGAGAGCCTGGATCCCCAGCCAATCCTCGATGGTCTGAGTAAGGTCTCTTGGGGGCCCAAGGACACACACACTCAGGAACTGCCAACATATTCCCCCTGCAGCCTCAGGTTCATAGAGTTTGAAGGAAAAAAGTGGTTTTCAGCCAAGTCCCAGAACATCTTTGACCTCAGCAGAGCAAGGGCTAAACCTCTGCAGTGCTGGCTGCTCTTGGAGCTGTGCTTCTCTGTGTGGCTCAGACAGACTAACAACAAGGGCACCAACACACCAAAGTGCCACTTTCTTCCTATGTGGACACTGCTGCCTGCCAATGTACCACTGGTCCCCAAGCAGACCACCCCAGAGCTTTACCTTGATGGCTTTGAGAGAGCCACTGAACAGCATGTTGTGTGAGGAGACCAAAGTGCAAACAGGATTGTCGTGTGCTCGAATCGTGTTCACCTTCTGCAGGTTCTGAATGTCCCAAACCTGCAAAGGAGAAGAAGAATGAGCATGAGGGGCAGGCCCCTTGTGCTGGAGCCCTTTCCCTTTGCCTCTGCAGGCAGGGAATCACACACAGGAGAGGGCACTTGTATGAGCCTGCCCCAGCTCAGCACCAGCCTCCTGCTCCCCATGCAGGAGCAGGGAGTGGGAAATACTGCAGGAAGCAGCTAAATCCAACCCAGGAGCAAGCTGGCTGAAGGCAGGGTGTAAAGCACACACAGGGTTATCAGTCTTACACCACTGGCAGCTGAAGAGCCTTAGAAAAGAGGATGCAGGTCCCTGCCCTACAGCAGCCTGGGGCTGGGCTGGGGATCTCCCATCCCAGAGCAGAGCAGGGGCCCTGGGTACTCACAATGATGGTGCAGTCAGCAGAGCCACTGTACAGCTTGTTCCTGTAACGGACCAGAGGATAAAGAGAGGTCAGTGAGGGACAGCAATGTGTTCCCAAGGGGTTCCCAGCACTGTGCTGGGCCAGGAGCTGCAGTCCCACAGCCTCACTGGGCCAGGACTCAACACACCAACCCCAGGAGCAGAGCTCAAGTCTCACGGGGAAGCCAGGTCCTTTGAGCAGGAGGCCAGGCTCCCTTCTGGTGGCCAGGGAAGGGGCCAGGACAGAAGGGAAGGCCAAAGAGAGTCACACTTTGGCGATTTTAAAGAGCAAAGGGACAAGATGTGCCCCTCATTCACAATCTTGGCACGTGCAGGACACAGGATGGGAATTGTAAGGCCATGCTTAAGAACCCCAGTGCTCTCCCCCTTCTCTCTACAGGGGCAGGTGTCCCTCTCCACTCACCCCTGGATGCAGAGAGCCAGTACAATTCCATCATGACCCTCCAAGGTCTTTTGGCACTTGTATGTGGTACAGGTATCCCACACCTAACAGGAAACACAAGTGAGCAAGAGGGTCACAAGCCAGCAAACAGAGCAGCTGGGACCAGGGCAGGACGTCAGCAAAGTCACAAAGGCACCAAAAGGAGGAAACAGGCTGTCACTGGGCACCTGCCTGTGGGCTCCCAGGCACAGATAAGCCTGGCTAGGGAAGGAAATGTACTGCAAAGGGTCAGGTTGAAGTCACTGAGACACTGGACAGCAGCAGACAGCAGCTCTGCCTTTCCCAGCCCAACACCACACACTGAACCAGAGCAGCAGCTCTTGGGCTCCTGCTTCACCAACTCACACCCTATCTTAGGGCTCCAATGGCACAGCACAGCCTCTGCCACTGTAAAGGTTTCCCCACTGAGCTCACACCGCTCTCCCAAAGAGAGGGATGTGGTGCCCAGAGCAGCCAGTGGAGAAAGCTGATTTCTATTGATTAAATACATTGATGTCCATTTTCTTCCATGTGGCTCTTGCTATTGCTCGAAGAAACCAACCCCAAGCTCTGCTCCGGGCAGGGCAGCCCGTGTGGCTCCCCAGCCCAGCCAGCAGCCCCCCCAGTGACACTGGGAGCTGTTGTTTAGCTCAGTGCTGTCAGTCTGAGTTACTGCAAACAGGACGAAGGAAAACAAACACGCCATAAAATGGGGAAGGGACAGAGCTGAGCGGGGAATTGGCTGCTTTCTCTGATGGCTTTTTAGAACAAGGGGAAATAAAATCAGAAGCTGAAATAAGCTGGAATGCTCTAAACACCATATAAAGCAAAGCCAGCAGCAGGGATGAGATTCTAATCAGGCTTTGCAGAAGCCACCATTTGTCTCTCCACAGTTGGAGGCTAATCACACAGTGCTGCCCTGCAGAGAATTCTGTCCAACTGAACTGCAAAGAACCATTGAGGTTCTCTGGGAGAAACTCTGGGAAGTGGCAGCTTCACCCCCAAACTGCAGCCCAGCTTCTGCCCCACCTCATGCACGTTTCCAATGCAGCAGATAGGCGGCAGAGGCGAGCTCTTACCTTAATGGTTTTGTCTGAAGAGCCACTGAAGAGCAGGTCTCCTATGGAGTAAACGCACAAACACCAGACAGGGCCCTGGTGGCCCACAAAGGTTCCCTTGCACTTGAAGATCTGCTGAGGATCATAGGCTGCAGAAACAAGAGGGCAGGTCAGGGGTGGGACAATGCTGTGCCTGGTCATGGTGCTTTTGGAGGGGACAGAGCTCCCTGCGCTGGCCCAGCAGGTCCTCACACTTCACCTGGTTGCAGGCCAGAAGGAACCTCGCAACCTGGTTGGAAGGTCTCGCATCCCACCCTTAGAGCTCATCGTTGCTTTGAGCCCCAGCACTCATGTCCCTAAAGCAGCTCCTGGTTCGGACCTAGGGAGGCCAGAGGTGCAGAGCCCACTTGACATCTCCCCAGCCGCTAAGAGCCCCGCAGCACTGTGAGCTCCCCACGGCCAGTGTTTCTGGCTAACTCCCCCACCAGTGCCTTCCTCCTGCAGGAAACAAATTCCTGCTGCACCCAGAGACAACTCTGCAGAGCTGTGACCTGGTCTAAAAGGGATGCATTGGGCCCCCACCCCAAACCCAGCCTGAGAGGAGGAAAACATGATACTCACATCCAAGGATGCCCATGTTGAGCCGAGCATTAATGTGGGAGAGCTCATCCTGTAAAACAGAACAAGCTGCATGAGCTGCAGAGCCAGCATGACCAGCCTGGCCTCCTGGGCATGGCCTTAGGACTGTCCCCTCCACTCTAAAACCACTCCTGCCTTTGGAGAGGCCTCTGACTGGAGGTCTCTCCTCTAGGACTCCATGCATACATCCCTCTGTCACCTCCTTCGAGAGGCCACAGGGCTCTGACAGCATCTCAGACCTGCACTGAACTCTTCAGTATTCAGGCAGGCACAGAAATACCTTTCAGAATTCACTTTCCTTGCTCTGCCATCCACCAAACTGCTAAAAATACTCAATCAGGTTATGGGACTGCTTGCTCAGCTGGGCTCCTGAAGCCCATCTTGCTGGAGAAGAATCAGAAGATCTCTTTGTAGTCTCCCCCATGTGTAGTCTCCTCCACAGTCCATGGAGGAGACTACAAAGAGGAGCCCCACTGCATCCATGGGGCTCCTCTTCATTAGTGTGCATAGTCAAAGCAGGGTGAGCTCCTCCTGATCAGTACATCCAGTGGGATGCAGGCTGCCTGAACTAGGGAGGAATGTCTATCCAACAGCAGTGCTTGAATGATGTCTGAAATGATGAGGCAGTTCTCACTCCCAGCTTGTTAGCAGGGACCTGCTTATCTTCCTGCTTTCTCTGCAGGTAGGGAGACGGGGATACTGTCCCTGGCCAGTATAAGAGGTACCAGGCTTTGGAGAAGGGTGTCTCCTGGCTGACGCAGGGAACCACAAAGATTCCCCACTGCAGGAGAGGCCTAACCAGCAGCAGAGCCAGGTAACTGCATGTGTTCCCTACTGCACCCCAGGGTCCAGCCCCTCCTCACGTTCAGCATGGAGGCATCCCTCCGGAATTCCATCAGGTCCTCGCTCAGCTTGCTCTGGTTCTCGTCCAGCACATCTACAAGAGATGAACAGGTCCTATGATGTTCTGGCAGCAGAGAAGTCGATGGAACCCCTATTTGTTCCTCTGCAAGGAACATCTGAGCCTCCTGAAACTTGCTCAGCATCAGTTTTAAACAGGGAATGAATCTACCACCCAACAAAGAGCTGTCCTGTCCCTACAGCTCTGACCACAGAGCTCGCCTGGTGCAGACTCACCAAACTTGAGCTCCAGGTTCTTCTCCAGCTGATCGATCTTCTCCGAGAGCTTCCCCAGCATGGAGCGCAGGAAGGCGATTTCCTGGTCCTTCTGGGCCATGGCCACCTGCATCTCATGGAAGCGGTCGTCTGTCTGCTGCAGGAACTCCTTCAGACCCTCAAACTTGCACGTCTCCAAGTGGGTCTCATAAGTGTCTTGATTTCCTATGAACGTACACCTAAAGGGGAAGGCAGACGCTGGCTGGAGCAGGGCTCACGCTGCAGGTCTTGCTCAGCTGGCTCCTCAGAAGGTCTGAAGCCTGTGGTGGGCCTCTACCTGCTCTGCTCCTCCTACCAGGAGCAATGCAACTGCAGTTCACCATCCTGATGGGTGCAGGCACTGCAGAGCAGCACAGAGCCCAAGCAGTTTCCATAATACCCACCAGGACATTGGCCTCAAACTGAACTGTCTGCGAGGAAAACCAGATCTTGGCAAGAGACAGAATGTGGTGTTGGTTTGTGTGCTCACCAGGAGCCCATCTAGAGCCATCAAAACCAATGGACAGAACAGCAGCCAACCTCAGCAGATGCTGCCTTGGGCCTGCAGCATGGCAAGGAATCAAGGCTGCACTCTCAGGACTTGTCCATGCCAAGATGGCTTGCTTCTGCCTATCCATCTCCTCCTGCAACAGTAATTTGAAGTGTGCATCCTGTGAGGAGCCCCTAACCTGGGCTGCCCTCCTGCTTGGGTGAGAATCAACCCTGATCAGCACTTCCCTTGCCCTGGGAGAAGGTCGGACTTAAAGACACTGCCAGGATGCTTGAATTACTCTTGTACTCATCCTCCTCCCTGCGTGGCCCTGGCCACATCCACTGACTCTCCTCCAGCTGCTTCTTCTCCCTACACACCTCACCCTCCTCCTCCTCACCTCCATCTCCTCCTCCTCACCTCAACAGCAGGGCTTACATCTGGGCAGTGACCTGCCTGTTCTCAACAAGAGCCCTGGGGCTGCCTTCTGCAAGCCCCACAAGCCTGGTTTCAGTCTTAGGCCATTGCACAGCACTGGGGAGAGCTGCCCAGAGCCCATGGGGCTACCCCAAAGCTGCGGTAGCCAAAATGCAGCTCAGAAATGAGCTTGGCGAATTCTTACCACTAAAAAGCATCAGCTCCTTACCCGTACTTGGAGTGGGGACATTTGATGTGCTCACACTCTTTCAGATGTGCCTCCAGGTTCATTTTCAGGAGCGGGGGGCAGCTGGGGTTATTGGGGCAGCGAACGGGCCTGTAGTCACAGCTGCTTTCATGATCTCTGCCCATGGAGAGAAGCCAAAGGAGGGAGAATCAGCAATAAGCAAAACTTAATGGAAACAACAGAAATTAGCAGGAAAGGAGCAAACAGCCCTGTGAGACTGTCAGGTGATTGAAAGCCTCTGTTCCAAGACTGCAATTACAGCTTTAAATTCTTATTTGGGCAGTAAGCTGAAAGTAATAACAGGCCACATTTACACAGGAAACATCTACTTCTGCAGCTGATGGGCTGAGCCCTCAGGCAGCTATCAACAGGCAATGGGCAGGGGATAAGGAAGGCAATGAATGCGTTTGGGATGGGGAGGAAGCCAGATTCCAGATTATTAGGATATAACTAGAATAACTCATCACACAGAAAGAATCCCCAGGTCTCTGCTTGACCATAACCACAGTGTTTCAACCTAGATGTGAGGTGGCTGCTTTCAAAGTGCATCCCTTGTCCTGATGACAGGGGTTAGCAGTGGACTTGGCAGTGCTGGAGTAAAGGCTGGACTTCATGATCTCAAAGGTCTTTTCCAACCTATTTGACTCTATGATGCTGACACACTGAAGTGGGGGCAGAGACCTTTCCTGATACCAACCCATGTGCCATCATCCTAAGACTGAGACACAGCGCCCTCAAGTCCTGCCCATTCTCACAGCCCTGCGCACCCCAGCAGGCACAGGGCAGCTCAGAGAGGACAAGAGGCTGCTGGTGGTGGGGCACACCGGTGAGGAGCACTCACTTCCTGGCACTGAGTTTGATTGTGAAGGGACAGCCGCGGGGATCCACCTCGAAGGCTGCGGGCTTGCTGCTGGCCGCGGGCCGGCACCCGTACTTGCAGTGAATGAAGAGCTCCCCGATCTGCTCGGCCACGGCGATGTTGTTCACCACCACGGTCAGCTTGGCGTTGTCCACCGGGCACTTCTCTGCCAGGCAAGGGAGCAAAAGAGACATCAGCAAGGACTGAGTCACTGCAGGAGCATTTCACACAGCTCTGAGCCTCCTCTGGCCAACAGAGCCAGCTCCCAGATGGGGGCAATGGAACACGCCATGAAGGTCCACAAGCCACTCTCCTGGGTTTGTGCTGGGGCTTGATGAAAAGTTATTGATGTTAATGCAGGGTCATTTGAGCTAACTGGCGATGAAAGGTGACACTGATTCAGATTATCTTGTGCTTGCTGAAGTGTGAGTGTTCACAGTGACCACAGACCAAGAGATGCTCCTACATAACTCAGCTCAGCACAGCATTGCAGGCCAGGGATGCTGCACTAAGCAAAGACATGAGCTTTGAGAACAGGAGCAAAACTGAGCAACCCCGGATTGCAACTACAAAGCCTTCTGCTAAAGGTCTGTTGGTTGGGATAGACATAGCAGGACATGGTGACAAGGAATTAGCACGGAAAGCAGAGAGATGCCTGCCATGTGGAACATGAACACCTTAAGGCAGGAAGAGCTGCAGAGTCCAAACCAAACGGCAGGTGGTTAGGCCAGGCCAGCAGCCAGGCACTTGGGCTCCATCAGGTTTCTGGAAGAGCTGGGTGAGCTAAAGCAGCTCCAAGTGCTGCTGTGCAGGGGCTCAGCACTATGGGATGGGGGAGGAGGGCTTTGGTGGGTCCCTGTCAAACACAACCCCCCTCAACCCTGCTCCTCAGGCAGCCACAGAAAAGCTTTCTGTCTGCAGTCAGTGGGTCAACCCTGGGCGAGATATGCATTATCCTGGGATTATCCAGTGCATACTCCAGGATTTCAGCACACCCTGTGCCCAGCCCTCTGGTGCCATGTTAATAGCATGTACTATGAGAGCTCGGAGCTGCACAGCCACCCGTGTCCAACCCCTCACTGCTGCAGAGGCACCCTCTGACTGGCAGCTTGTTTCAAGCCCTTCACACGTCTCTCTGCAGGTCTCTTTCGAAGTGAAACCACACAGACCAGAACACAACAGCTTTTGGCTGCACCCCACACGAGCAGGTCTGTACTCACCAGATGTTAAGGCACATCTCCTACAAAACGTGTGCTGCGGAGACAAAGAGGAACAGCAGCGTCAGCACAAACAACATTGGACAAACGATTCCCTGTGTGAATGATGGGAAAGGTGGCAAATATCAAAGCTTGTGGCTCAGGGGCTCTGCATATGTTCTACCTGCTTACAGCTCAGTGTGCTCTTGTGTCTGCACCATAGGGCAAAACCCAGCGGCTTGCTCCTGCAGCTCAGGGTGCAACACGGGTCCTGTTCCTGAACATAATACCTGTCAGCACGTATTAAGCTTGAAACTTTGAGGGTTCTGCCCTGTTCAGCATCAGGCTGTGATCATGGGGCCAGCCAAAGCCTATCACACACTGATACTCCTACCCTCCAAGTCTGCATGGGGTTTCTCTACTTCACTTTAGTCCCTGTCATTCCTCTCATGTCCCTGAGCAGTCTTTAAGAGGAAGAGCAAGAGCAAGTCTGGCCTCTCACTGTCCTTGGCCAGTCAACCCATCACATATACCCCCCTGTAGCTCTTTTAAGCTCCTGCTGTCAGGTGGATGGGACAGCTGCTTTGTAAGCCCATTGAATGCACAGTAAATTTGGCCACTTTAAATATATCTCTATTCTTACAGCAGAAATGTATACAAACAATTGAACTTGATAAAGCAGCAAACACAATCTAACATGCTAATGGATACGAAGGGAGGAACAAAGGCTGCAGCAGCATTTCACTGGTCCTGAACTTGCCCCAGGGTTCCCTGGAGCCTCCTCACGCCATTCCCCTGCTTGGCAGCAGCACTGGAGAGGCTGCAAGTCACTCCTCAGAGCTGTTATCTGCTGCCCTGCTCACGCAGCCTCTTCCTGCCCTGCACAGCTGCATGGTGCTCCCTCCCGAGCTGCCAAACCAGGGCTACAAGTGAAGCCAGGCTGCTTCCTGCACCAGCTTTTTGTTTCCATATTAACCAGTAAATCTCAGTGTCTCCATGAATTGGTGCTTACTGAAATGGTGCAGGGAATCTGCACCCACTTCCAGCAGCTCTGGGGATAGCACCCCCACTGCAATAAACCATCCTGCTCTCTGCTTTTGTTGCTGCAGCTCCATCCCAACAATCGGAAGCATGTCAGAAGCATTAGAGAGCCTCTCATAAAGTCATCTTTCTCTGCATGTAGCAAAGAACCATAATAATATACAGTTTCTATTAAATCCCAGTAAAATGGAACATACAAGAATATTCATAACACTGTGCCTTTCATTAGAGGATCTCAAATCCCTCTGCAAGCATTAACTAAATGAAGCTTCAAGCCATTGTTGTTTTATAAGAAAGACTCTTCACAACCGAAGCGCAGCCGTTCCTGGGGTGCTCAGGAGGCAGCAGCACCCTGCAGAGCCCTTCAGGACAGGGAACGGGGAGGTTCAGACCTCACTGGCGCCACACAAAGGGGCTTGAATGGTGCCAGTTCTCCTGGGAAAACCTGCCCCATTTTAAGCTTATCCCAGGCTTCTGTGGTGAGTGCTGAGTGCCCCACACACCCCACTGCAGGCTGGTTCAGCATCTCTGCTCCGACACTGGCCTGGCTCCCTGGTCAGGGGCTGCCTTGTCTTTGCTCACTCAGGCTGACAGTGATCAGGGACAATCACTGGGGCCAGTCAGGGCTTGGCTGCAGCTCACACATCCGGGGAGCGCACATTTGTGACCTGGAGGAGTGCTGCCTTACCCCACACGTTGTGATGACCGGATCCTTAAACACGCTACAGCAGAGCTGGCAGCACAGCTTCACGGACGGCTGTTCAGCAAACACCAGTGGCTCCTGCAGAGGAGAGGAAGGGACACAGAGAGCACAGGGTTAGAGCCTCCAGCTCTGCAGAAAGAACGAAACAACTCCCCAGCGGTGATCCTTTGGGAGCCTGGGGCACAGGGAACACCAAGGACTGGATCTGCTCATCTCCAGGGTGTAAGAGGTAGGGAGGAATGCACTTGGGAATGGCTGGAGACCCTCAGCTCATCACAAACCGAGGGCCACCAGCATCTGGCTGGATCAGGACCCAGTCAGGACCACGTTCTTTCCCCAGGTGACTCAAGTCACCACAACTGCATGATCTGCACTGTCTGGTACTTTTTGCTTGGTCGGACTGAACAGAACGCTGTCAAAACCACCCCCTGCACTAAGCCTGAAGTTTAAAAGCGATTTTAAACCAGCTTGTCCCTTGGTGTTTTTAAAACCTCCTGCAGCAAAGGCTCTTTCACTCCCTTAGGAAGCAGAAACAACATCACTTCTGCTGCCATGGGCCCATCTCTCCAGTTCTGTTCACCAGCTAAGACTGCTGGAGCTCTGAGCAACGTCCTCCCACAGCAGCACAGCTCTCCCCTCCACACCAGAGCAGAGTTTCACATTCCAGAGCATTTCAGATCAATCACTGCAGCTCAGGCTGTCCTTTCATCCTGTGTTCCCTCAGAAATGCAAACACAGCCCCCCGGGTTCCTAAATATGAAACACACTTTTATCCCAGATCAGCAACAAAATGCTGCCTGGTCTTTTATGCATCCAGTGTGGGGTTAGTTACAAAGCTCAGCTTAACAGTGTTCTCCCCCAACAAGAATCAATGTGGACAATTCCTTGCACCCTCCTGGGGCTTACAATCAATCAGTGGGGTGCCACAAGGCCCTAAATGCAGGATGGGGCTCTGAATAAGGGGGGAAATGGTATTAGTCTCACTGCCTGGGGCTAGACCACCAGCCTAAAGACGGGCAACCCCTACTGCTGTGCAGCAGAGCCAGGGAGGCCCACATGACCTTGCAAAGACTTACAGTTGTTCCAAGAAGCAGAAAACTCTCCCCATTGTCCTCTCTTTACAGACAGGGAAACGGTGCACAAGGAGGCAGGGGAACTTGCAGAAGTCAGTGGTGGAAACAAAATGAACACCAGGAGTGCTGCCAGCCAGCCATGCCCCAAAACCTGCCCACCACAGCTCCGCGTACTCACAAGAGTCCACCAAGGTACTCTTTTTGACACTGAACTTCCTAATAGAGCTCCTTCAGGCAATCCCAAATACCTACTGGCTCCTCCTCTTCCTCATGGAGTGAAAACGTGGAGCGCAAGGACATGTTGGACTCGGAGTGCAATGAACGGACGGAGATAGCAGAGTCGGAGCGGCGCGGAGTGCTGATGGGAGGCTTCAACGAGAGGAAAACCAGCCCTGGTTAGAAAACCATCCCCTTGCTCCAATCCCCTCTGCACAGACTTCAAGCTCAGTGTCCCCCCTCCACAAAACTCAGCGGCTGCCACAGGTTGCACGTCCCACTGCTGCCTGCCCTTCCTGGGAGCTGGAATGCTGCTCCATGCTCCAAGACAGGACAAGCATCGGTCGGGTTGAACCTACCAAACCAAGCTGACAACTGAATTCCAAGCATGTAACTTTCTCAAAGGTGCATCCCTCTGCATACTTACCGTGTGCACCAGCAAAGCAATGGCTTGGAAGAACTAATCCTTCATGGAAAGCTTTGGGAATCTCCCCCAGAGACGGCACCAGTTTCTGCAATGCCTCTAATCTCTGCAGCAGCACTTGTTGTTTCACTCGCTATCTAACTCTGCCAAATTGCTTTGCGTAAGTGTGGAGACTTCCTTCTATTGAATTCAGTGCAGACTGGCTTTGTCGCTTCCTGCTCGGGAGGGGACAGCTCGGTGGACACTGCATGCACCAATCAAGGACTATCCCACTGCTTACAGCAGCCTTGGGATTGGCTTGGAGGGAACGCTGCTGCTGGAATATTAACCAGCAGCACATCTCTAAGGGTGGAATATCAACCAGCAGCACACAGCCAAGATGGGATTCGGTGTCAGAATGAAGCTGGAGAGTCTTCAACCCACAGGGTGATTGGGCTTGGGGTCTAGCACAGCACAGGCACAGCTGGGTTACTCTGCAAGAGAGGCTGCTGGGAAGATGTGACTGGGAAGAGCAGAGGGAGCAGCAATAAGTCTTCAAGGACCAGATGAGCTGATGAAGGAATGGGAGAATGAAGCCATGAGCTTCAGACACTCAGCAGCAAGAGATGAGCAATGCCCAGGCTACCTGACTGTAGGCTACATCAGTCACAAATCCTTAGATGTGCTGGAAGAAGGAGATCTGAAGGTCACTGGCCCTGATGCTCAGTGAAGAGGGATTCTCCCCAGCCCTGGCTTGTATCAGCCCTGGCACTGCCCATCTGGAACAGGGAAAGCTGCATGGATGAGCCTCTGCCATTCCGAGATCCTCTCCTGCACAACAGTTTTCCCTCATGCTCAATCTGAACCTCCAGAGGCACATTTCATTTGCTTCCCCTGGGTGAACGTGTGCAACATCAGACAAAAGCAGTGTCAGAGGCCAGGAAATTCAGCAATGGAAGATGTGAGATGAGATTCAGAGGCTGCCGCCTTCCCCAGAGACAAACTACACTGCAGTGAGTGCGGAAGAGAAGCAGAGCAGGATCCTGCTGGTTCCTCACACTGCTCTGATGCTTCGTTTTCATGCTACCAGGATCCTAGGAGCTCAGAAATGCTGCAGCTGCTTTGAAGCCAAAGCATAAAGCTCTTTTTCGTTAAGACAGCATATTTACTGGCCAAACATGTAAACCTTGAGGAGCCATGGTTATAATGAGGTAAATCAATTTGATGGGCATCCACTTTATTATTTTCCTCCACTAGTAACAGAAGTCACTGGCACAACAAGAATGACTGTGCAGAGTTCCCAGGCTGGAGGTGACACAGAGAGCAGGGCAGCAGGCAGGCTCTCCTGGAGCAACATCCTGCCTGGATCACCGCTGGAAAAGGGGGAACTGCAGCCTAAGAGCACTAGCAGGAGGCAGGGGAGTGAGGCACAGCCTTAGTAGGCTCGTGCCACACTGTGGGCTCATTTCCTCGGGTCCTGGCTGGTGTTAACTACACAGGGGAGAAGAAAGATCACTGCACCTGAGGTGTAGAACCAGCACTGAACGGCAGAGGTGTGTGCTGGCATTTAATACCCCTCGAGGTATCTGCAGCTTTTGTTTTTGCTAAGCAAACAAGGTTAAGAGTTGAGAAACCTCAGCTGGAAGATGGATAGCTTGTGGCTGGCCTGTAATTCAGTCCAGCCTCTGGTTCAGAGGTGAAGCTCCCTGTAAACAACCAAGACTCTGGACATCAAGTCAGCTCTGCATCCATTAGGACACATTTGCTTCAATACTGAGCTGTAATCTTTATGTGCAGTTCCCACTGTGTCAGCTACAAAAGCAGCTCACACATGAAGGCTCTAATGCAGTCCTCGCTCCTGCTCCCTATAGGCACAGTGAGGCAGGGAAGCCACGGCACTGTTTTGAGGGAAGATGACAGCAGCCACTCAGTCACCCCTGCCTCGCACCCAGAACAGGCTGCTCTGCTTCTGGTTTCATTAACAGAAGCTTTAACACGACAGAAAAAGGGGTGGTGGATGCTGCAGGAGGGCTCTGACTCGTCTCGAGCTGTCTTTCTGATGGCTGACAAGTCCTTGGCAGCTTCTGGAGAAGGGAAAATTTAGCCATGAGGAAGGGAAATCCCAGGTTATTCCTTGACAAAGTGAAGGAAGCTTCCTAAAAGCCACGATTCTATGGTTCTCTTCTGCTCTACTTACTTCATTTGAAGTCTACTATTAACATGCTTCAATCTAGCTTGTGGTTACAAGATGGGGCTGGAGCACTTGGGACAGGAGAAGATCAAGGCCTCAGAGGTGCCCATCCATTCACTGAGCTTTGCTTTGCTGTGGCTGTTCTTGATTTAGCTGACTGAATTTCTCTGTAAGCAGCTACCCCGGAGGCCTGTGGGATCACTGAATTCCCCCAAAAGAAGAGGCTCAGAACTGAGTGTGATGGGTGAGAAAGCTGGATATGAAACTGGGAAGTGCTTTTCTGCAAAGATACTGCGAGATACGGGAATGGTTTGTGTGAGAAGCCCCCGATGATGTAATCCCCAGGAGCTGAGCACAGGCTGTAGTGTCCCACATCCCACTCTGCAGGCTTCAAACCTGCTTTTGTGATCAGAAGCCCCATCTGGAGGTGGAAATAGGAATGGATTTTCTGGCTGTAACTGCAGGGGCAGCTGTGCTGCTGGATGGTTCACCCAACACACCCTGATCCACACGGACTGCCCCAGTCATCCCTGACAGCAGCTCTGCTTTCTCCTGAGCTCGAAGATGCTCGCATCAGGAGGCAGGCACATCCTCACAAGTAGGCCTGTGGGCTTTGTACCCACATACCATTCTCAAGCAGCCTGAAAATGAGCACCAGCCTAATGCCCAGGTCAGAATTAGCCTCTCTGCTTCCCCACTGCACCAACCATGGGAGCGGCCAGGAAACGCTGAGGCTGGTCCTGCCTCTGGTACAACACAGCACATGGGAACGACGAGGGAGGCAGAGAAGTCCAGAGGAGCACCAGACACCTCTCATCGGGCATATAACCAGCTAAGTCATCCAGCTCCCTGGCAACACCTACCATGCCATCGTCCTCATCTCGTGGGGAGTAGGTGAGTGTGCTGGAGGAGGATGGTGTCCGGCGGTGCTGTTTAAAAGTGTTGGTCCCGTCAGCTTTAAAGCAAACAGAAAGAGAAAAAGGCATTTATTCAGGCTCCTCAGTGATATTTCCAAGCTACAGCTCAGTCTCCATAGCTGTAAGTGCTCCTTAGAAAAGGAAAAGATATGGGATTCCCCAACTGCAGTTCATGACCTGGGTATATCAGGCAGAACAGTCCTGATCTCTGACAGCTTGCTGACATGCACACAGCCCTTTCAAGGCAGCTTGCCCAGAAAAGAGCACACATAATATTCTCCCAGGTCCTTAGGTTAAAATACTATTAAAAGGAAACCTTATACTCCCACATATCTCAGTCATCAAGATCTGCTTTGATCAAGGGAGGTCTGGATATTCTTGTAGCACGAGGGAAGCATGTTAAATTAAATATGAGAGAGTTGTATAACGATCATGTTACTGACTTATATATAATTGTGACTGTAAGTACTCAAGAGTCCTAAACCATCTAGAGCCCTGCACCAATGTAATCCTAACACCTCACCCAGGCAGATGTTCATAAATCAGTGTCAAGGGCCATGGTTTGTCTCTAGCAAAATACAGCTTATTCTGAAACGAAACCAAACCTTTTCCTGCATTCACCCCCGTGTCAGGGCTCAGACTTCACCTGCTGCGAGGAACAAAGCTCAGGGATTTCAAACGAGCAGGAACACTTGCACCCCCTCGTGTCGAGGCTAAAAACGGCCGCGGGGGTTTTACCCAAGCATCCAGAGTGACTCACAGCCAGGCAGAGCCGAGATGGGAATTTTCAGCGCTGGGAATGACTGCGTGAGAAGTCACAGGGCTAAATAAGCTTTGGTACCAAGCTCTGGATCAAACCCTGTTGTATCATGCTGATCGCAGCAAGGGCTTCCCAGTGGAACTGTTAAATCTGCCTAATTTACATGTGCACGCTCCTTTCCATCATGCCTGGTGATGAGATGCCATGATTAAACACCGCTTGGGCTGCATACTGAAACCAGCACCTCAGCGCCTGACTGTAATGAAACAGGGATTCTCCCAACAGCTTTGTGAGTTGTAAAACAACAAGAAACCTGTCAGGAATCACACCTAACGCTTTGGGGAGAAGCTCCATGCATGGAATACACTCACCCTTTGTGATGGTTGTCACAGGAGGGTAGGCTGGTCCAAAAGTTGTTTCCATTCTTGTCTGAAACATTGCAAAGTGAAGGTCAGTGTGATCAGTGCAGCACAGCCCAAGGGCTTGCTGCCTTTGTGCAGACGTATTCCCAGCTTTGATTTGTGGATACTGGGATTTTTAAGAGGCAAGAAAACACCTTTATTTTCAACAGGCATCTTCACTGTCTCAGAAGAAAGAATAACATAAGAAGCAGCACCACCATTGAGCCTTACTTACCCCGTTAGTGTTTTCGGAAGGAGTGATGCTCGTTGTGCCACTGGAGAAACGATTGTAGCGAGTGTTCTTGTTTGAGCTCATAATCTAGCCCAGCATCTGTTAGTCATGGGAAGCTTGCTCTGTGGAAGAAGAAAGAAGGAGTCAGGTTCATAGTCTGTATTTTCCTGTGCTCAGAGAACGCTCCCCTGTAGCATTAAGTCCAAGGATTTCCCCACGCTCACCTGGAGTTCCAGAAAGAAGTGGAAAGGACAAAGAGAGCTTCCTTCAAATCATTCCTGATTCATTCCCATTTTCTGAAAGTGCATTTATCTTTTAAAATAACCCCTAACAGCCCAAAGACTGGAATACCCAGAATCATCACCTGCTTTTAAGTATACAAGCATTTGAACAGCAGAGGAGACTTCTCAGGAGATGACTCTACAAGAGCATCCCACTGGACCTTTCAGCCTGCTGGGAGCTGAGTGCACAGGGGCAGGAAAGGTCCCTGGATGTAAAGCTATATGATTAAAACCCTTATCCCATTAACTGGGAGGCTCAAGCTGAGCTGACCTGGACCCCAGAGCTCAAAGTGCTTGTTCATTCCCAGCTTTGTGACTTAGGGCCACTTCCTGAGCACAGGATAGAAACAGCCCATTTGATCACCAGGGCTTTGCCTTAATGGGGTTGTTGTCACTGCCTTCCTCTCCCCAAGGATTCTGATGAAGGAAGAGGTGCCCTGGAAGCACAGCAGCCCCACATCCCCAGCAGGGGGGCAGAGAGGGATCCCTCCAAGGAAGCCCCTCTCCTGAACAGGCTGTGCAGCACCTTCTGCACTTCCAGCCAAGGAAACCAAGGCCTGACCTCCCCTGCAGCCCCAGAACTCAGGGCTGTCTTGTACTGAAGAGCATGATGAGCACAGGCCTCATCCTGTTCTTGTGCTGAACAGTGGCAGTTTTGCTATTTAATTCAAAGCCCTGGGCTGTGCTGCTGAACACAAAGCCAGGCAAAAAAGCCCACATTTGATTTAGGCATATTCGCATTAAAGGAGTTCTTTCCAGCAAGACCTGAGCTACGAGGTCATGGAACCCATGAAAGAAACCTTGCTTTGATGTAAGTGAGAGGGTTGCGATGCTGGATCTCACTCCCAGTTTCTGCTCAGGAACAAGCAGCGCAGTCTGGATTTGCAAGAGAAACCCTCTCCCCCACAGTCAGCAGATGGGTCCTTTCTCTTCCTCCATTGTTTACACAGGTTTTGACTGGGTTCAGTTCTGCAAAGTCAAGTATTACACAATAATGATCTGCAGAACACATGGAGTTTGTGTTTAACCTCCCGTGAAACCCAGCTCCAGGGCACAGAATAATGCTGTTGCTCCAGAGAACGTGATGAGATGCTCTCAAAGAGTCTCCTGAGCCAGAGTACCCGTAGGAAGGAGCTGCACCCCTTCTGTGCCATCAGATGGAGATGCTTCTGGCTTGAGCAGGTTCCATCCAAGACAAGGGTTCAGCAGGGCACTGAGCTCTCCTCCCAAGCTGTCCCTTCATCTGTCATCCCAGACAGGGACTCTGTGCTCCAGGAATAAGGTGCTCAGGCAGGGTCCTGCTTAAGTGATCCCTTTACATCCAAGATACAGTTAAGTCTTGCTGCTCACTGTCAGTATCAGAGTCCAAGGGCTAAACAGACCAGACAGACATCTGCAGGGAGGCCAGACAGGCCAGAAATGGTTTGCTAAGACACAACCCAAGTCCCTTTTTGCAGAACAAGAGCCAACCACTAGCAAAGCACACCACAGAAGGTGATGCTGCAATCAGCCAACGTGGAGCTCCTGGTCCCTGCTGAGATGGAACCACTCAGGGCAGGTTTCTGCACTCCTGCTGCTCACACTTCCAACTCGTGGGGGGCTGAAGTGTCTGGGGTGGTTTTAGCGATTGGTTTTCTCTTCTCAGAGGGTCACAAGTCCTAAATCTCCAGGCTCTTCATAAAGGAGACCATTCTCCACCTTACAGAAAGGGAAACTGAGGTTCACAGAGAGACACGAGGTAGCTGTGACCTGGGGCCTCCCAGTCCCTGCCTAAGAGCATGGCCACCACCTCCCTGAGACCAGCACGAAGCAGCCTGCACTCACATTTTTAAACACTGCAAAGGCAATGCTCAAGCTGTGCTCCAGCTGCCCTTGGCCAAGAGCTCAGCCCTGCCTGACACAGCACTTCTTGGTGCTCGCTGCGGTTCTGTATCAGACATCTGCCAGGCAGCAGCAGCAGCACAGGCCAGGGAATCACTGCTCAGGGCTAAACCCTTGGAAAAAGCTGCAGTCTCAACCCCAAACCCACCAAAACCCCAACAGAAACCCATCAAACAAACAGAAACCCCAAGCCCAAACCCATCTTAAAACCCGGCATCTGGATAATGTTTTCCACACGTCTGCAAGCACTGTCCTGGCCGTTTGCAAATGCCAGATCCCTCAGGAGATGCTGAGCAGCATCGTTGGAGCTGTCTCAAGAACAGCAGGAATGAAGCAGTGTTGTGCTGCTGCAGCATGGAGACCTGCCCAGCTGAAAGCTGGGCTCCAGCAAGAGGGAAGCTTGGCCACCAGGATCCTGTTATTCCTTTGCTTAGAACACAGACAGCAGAAGGCACAGGGAGGGTGGGTGGTGGTGAGAGGATGGGCAATGCTTTTAGCTAACACACTGGCTGTGGCCACATGAGATCTGAACCCCACTGAGGCTCTCACCCTCTGCAACTGCAGCCAAGCCACTGGAGCTCTCTGCTTCCTCCCTGCATCAGTTCACATCTTCTGCACAGGGTATTTGGACGACAAAGCCTGAACATGGAAGTCTTTGGATTCCTATGGATTCTGCCTACCTGCAAGCAGCAGCAGGAGCCTGCTCCGTGCCTTCTCCAAACAGAAACCCAAGGAATGTGAGCAATGGAAACAATGTGGGCTATCAGCCAGGCTGCAGAGCACCAGCCACCACATGCACATCGGGTTCCAAATCTCTGCAACCACCACACACAGGAAGCGTTTGAACAGAGCAAACACCTCTCCAGAGCACTGCCCACTGCCTCCTTCACATCTTCCTAACGGTGCTGAGAAAGGCCTTTTCCAGCTGCTATCTAAGAAGTTAAAAGGAGGCAGACAAGAGCTGGTGCTGGTGACATGAATACCAGCTCCCCGCAGCGCCTGCAAACATCACCAGACCCCTGAGGCTTGTGTTGGCATCTGAACCCCATCATGGTTACAGCAAAATGGGTTGCAGAGCACCCTGACACCTGCAGTGAGAGGACACACTTGGTTTGATCTGAAAGAACAAGAACTGCTGCAGGAACAAGCATTGAAGCAACTTCAACAGCACAGGGCTGTTGACATGCGTGGATCCTTGTGGCTGGAGATCAGGTTGAGAACCCAGCCTGGATCCAGGCTCCCCTTGTCTGGAGTGCATCCTTATTATTATTATTTTAACATGGAACTTTAGTGGTTTTGACAGTAAAAAAGAGGGGAAAAATCCACCCTGGAAAAGGAAGTTGTGGGGACCCACTGTTTGCTAAGTCACCCGCCTGAGAGTAACCAGATGGAGGGGAAGGGAGAGATTTCAGTACCTGCACAACACAGGGGTCAGGTCTGGCTTCTGAGATTCAGGGAGAAGAAAAGCCTTGAAATTCCTCCTTCAGTAATCCAGGCAAGGAAAATCCAGCCTCTAGCAGCTGCAGGGCTGGGGAGAGCAGGGCTCTTGCTCCCCACTGCAGAGACCAACAGGACCAGCCCCATCTCTGCACCTCATCACAGGGACAGGAACCACCTCTGGAGCAGTGGCTCAGCTGATTCTCTGCTTGTGCTGAAGAGCTTGCCCACAAGAGGGGTCTGGTGGGACCAGTGTGGTCTCCCTCCTCTCAGCCCCAGAGCACAGCCTCCATCTGCTATCCCCAATGCTCAGCAAAAGATCCTTACAACCAACCTCAAGGTGAAGGCCAAGGCTTTGAGGGGGGATGTGGCACGTGGAGAAGGGATCAGTGGGGTATCTCATCCTCTACAAACATCACATAACCTGCCTGGTCCCAGCTAGGAGCCAGTGCCTAAAGTGGGAATCACAGCATTACAACAGCGCTGCTAGGGTCTGTGCTGGGGTTACAACATCTCCTCACTAAGAAACTTGCCCCCATCTCTGCCTTACACAATCACCAGCCCATAAAGCTCAGCACCATGTTTTACTTCTGCTTTGTTCTTCTTCCCACCCCCCTCTCTCAATCTACTGAAACTGTCTCTAAGGCTCTTCACCCCTCAGGAAGCTGCTGGGTTGGTTAAATCATCCACACAGCAGGGCTGTCTGCTGGAGATGGGTGGCGCTGGCCTCCTGAGCAGGGCAGTGATGGGGTTATCCTGCTCCAGCTGGGAACAGCCTCTGGGTGATGTGGCTTTCCTTATTTCACAGCCTGGGCAGTGATGGCACATGACACAAGCTTCCGTTCCTCTTACAACACCAGAACGAGAAGGGTGACACTTGGAAGTATTGGCACATCACTGGGGAAACACTCTTACAGAAGCTAAACCTGTGCTCCATGGGACAAGGCCCAGGCAAGCAGGTCCTTAGAGCAGGAGGTGTGGGACTGTGGACACCCCTTTCTCAGTGCATCCCGAGCTCTCATGCATCCAGGCTCCTGGGGAGGTAACAGGGCTGGTCAATCCAGTCCAGGCTGGGCAGCTCCGGCCACCCTGCCTTGCAGCACTGAGGGGCTGCCCTTACATCTGTGAGCTGATCTCCTGGCCCACAGTGACTGCAAGGGAACATCTCAGACCAAAGCACAAGCGAGGCAAGACTCACGAGCTCAAATGCCAACGCTTTACAGAGACAATCACGGGACAGTCACATTGGCCTGCTCTGTCAGCATCTCAGGTGGAAAGAGCACTCTAAGCACTTGTGAACTGCATTAACAGGGCTTAAAGAACATGTGTGGTGACGAGGACTGTCAGCATCCAGTCTGACTGGCCATAGGAATGTGTGAGGTACTGCAGACTGGAGATAGACATCTCTCAGGGCAGGAAGCAGAGGGTGGAGCTCAATGGTCACTGCTCAGGTTAGAGGAGACACTGCAAGAGCCCCCCACCCCGGGAACTGCTGAGCAAGCTTTGTCAAGGCTGTAGGTGAAGGTGGTGAATAAAGAGCGAGCAGCAGCCTGGTCTTTGCTTCAGGAAGGCTCAGTGCAGGCAGAGAAACTTCAGGGAATGACAAATGGAATGATCACAGAACAGTTTGGGGTGGAAGGGACCTTAAAAGCTCCTCCAGCTCCAACCCCTGCCACGGGCAGGGACACCTTCCACTAGAGCAGCTTGCTCCCAGCCCCTGTGTCCAACCTGGCCTTGACGTTATCCCTAATCCAGCCACTCTGAGCGATGGGAAAATACAAAGCAAACAGATATCAGGATGTGGTCAGGTCCATGTGCTCTTCAAACTGCTGGAGAACTGGGACCAGGCAGAGCAACGCTCTCACCCTCCTGTTACACAAGGAGAGGTCACTGTTCTTAGGCTCCTTCAAGGCCAGGCTCAGATGCTGAGCTGTGCGGTCAGCACTAGAACATAGAACGTGAGCAGCAGTTCAGGCTTACTGAGAGCAGAGCACTTCCATGCTCTTTGGTTCTGTGGAGCAGAAAGAGCCTTCACCTTGTTCACAAGGTGCTGCATTGCTCTTCAGTCACACAGGCTGTTGGGAGGTACCTCAAGCAGGACCACAGTTGTACTGAGCCATCAGCAATGACAAGAGCAGGGTTATCTGTAATTGCTGCTGCTTTTACCAGCGCTCCAGTTGGCTGCAGAGCTGAGAGAGCACCTGAACACTGCCATCCCTTCATGCAAATGCAGCTCAGAGGGACACCATTTAGAATCAGGTGCTTTTCCTACAGGATAACAAGCCCTTGGGATAGAAAAGCTTCTGGTAATACTTCATGTTGAAACCTAAAGCATCAAATGTGTCCATAACCTGATCAAAAGTGACTGCTCCGGGGGAATGAAGCATCTCTTTTCCCCCAAAGCCTAAGCTCAAGTCAGAACAGAGGCCAATGTTCAGTCCTGTTTCCATGACTCAAAAGCCACACCTGAAACTTCCATGTCAGGAAACCTGGAAGCATTCACCTACTACAGCATTTTCTTACTCATAAGGCCACAGACCCGGGTTCAGCAGCACCCAACCCCTGCAGCTGAAACCAGCATCCTGGCAAAATACCACCGAAGCAGCGATCTCCTGCCCTTTGCTGAACGAGCATGGATTCAGAAAGGCACCAGTGGATGGGGACACTTCCACTGTGGCAAATCCACCGAGAGCTTTCAGACAGAAGCACCATTCAGTGTCCCACAAGCACCTAACACCACACTGGGAAAACTGGATCTAAATCACTCCTGCAAGGTACCATCAGCAGCTGTACTGAGGTCAGGATGAGTTAGGATGAGGCGGGGGGAGCGACCTGCTCTGCTCCCAAGCCTGGCTGCTTTGCTTAGAGAACACTGAGGAGTTCCACTTCTGACACCACCAGAAACCACCTCAGGAATCACTTGCTGGGTTGCTACAGTCAAACACTGCACATCCTTGCAGAGGTCACTGGGAAGGATCCCCACATCAGCATAACACAGGCGACAGGTACCCGCTTCTAAACTAGCGCTGGGTTTCGGACACCTCCTGCATCTTCACCAGGATCCAGCCCCAGGGATGAGAACTGTTCCTCCCTCCCTGCCTGCTAAAGCACAGCAGCCCTCGGGGAGCACTGCAGACAGCCCTGCCATCCAGCCCCAGGACAAGCACCATTCCTGGGAGGAAACTCACCCTCGGCCGTCCCAGCAGAGCCCAGCAGGATGCCACCATGACCCAGGTCCTAAGCTGTGGGCAGCTTCTCCTCGGTTAGAGTCTCTTCCGCTATCTGTGTGTGTGTGTGTGTGTGGCTCTTCATGATGCAAACACAAAGGCATGCGGAGCAGTGGGCGATATGTAAATCCAGCTGGAAAATCCCAGAGCTCAGCCAATCTCCGCGCTGCCTCCCCTGGCTGCTCCGAGCTGGAGGGGTTTAGGCCAGTGCAGGACAAACAGCCACTCTCCCAGCACACACAGATCGAGTCTCTGATCACAGATCTCCAGGGACAGCACAGTCCAGCCGCACTTTAAAGGGAGTTGGAAGTTCTCCCCCTCTTTAGCTGGTTCCCAAGCTGTTCTGTATTCACACTGGCTATCAAACAGCCCAACAAACAGCCTTTGTTTGCAGAGACAATCCAAGGAAATCCATCCAGTTAGCTAAGAAACACCACAGAACGGCAGAGCTACTGAGCAGGGCTCACCCCACTCATGGTGGGGGGCTGGTACAACCGGGACACCCACCCCATGCAGAACAAGGGGCTGAGGCTGTCCCAGAGCAGGCGCTGCCCCACTCCAGCCCCCCCAAGACAGCTCCTGCAGTTGCACACCTCATTAGAAGCAGGAAGGTCACCGAGGCAGCTCCCAGCTCGGCCTGTGCTGATGCTGAACATGGGTAAATTGGGGTGCTGCTGCCCTGGGGGGGGTGCTGAGCTTGAAAGAAGGGTGACACATACCCCTGTGAGCAAGCACCCGCCACATCCTTCTTCCCAGGCGGCTGCTCCAGCCCCTGATCCAACCCATGGGCAAGGGGATGGGCAGTGTGTGCCTGGAAACACCCACAGCAGAGGGGCACAGGCAGGGAAGGGAAGATGAGGGACTCGGAGGCATCAAAATGGGGAGGGAAGAGTCCTGACAGACTGAACGTGCCCATGTAACCAGAGTATTCAGTGAAGCAGGAAGGGGTTTGTGTCATAGCGGCTCAGTCCCACCACTCTCAGGCAGAGTGGCCGGGATCACATTGTGATCCCTTGGGACAGGGAACCAAACTGCCTGAAAACCATGGATTTGGGGGTTTCTCCCTTGGTTTCAATCAACACGGTGAAAAGTCCCATTCCAGTGACAGTACCTGCACTCCCTGCATGCGACGCCCTGGTCCCAGCAGCTTGGTTTAGGTTTCCCACAGCCACTTGGCCAAGTTTACCCTCCCTCACCGTGAAACCTTCCTTTGCTTAGGGCAGCTTCACCTGCAAGCGCTCTGCTGCTGCTGCAGCAAACCAAGCTGCAGAGCTGGAGTTACCACGTCCCTTCTCAGCCTGGCTTGTGACAGCAGGGCCCAGGACCCCAGGCCTCAGAGGGGGACCCAGCACACTGAGGACAAGTCCCTGCATGAAGCACTTGAGTTTCTGGTGCCAAATGCCCTCGGCAAAGGCTTTCTGGAGCCGTCCTTCACTCACCCAACCCTCTCCCTTCATCCCAACAGATGCTGTGGCTGTAAATAAAGAGTCACTGACAGACAAATGCTGGAAGCCACAAGGCAGCAGCTGTTTAACAGCAACACTAAGTGCTTAGTACAAGCTGAACAGAATACACTGCTGGGGGGTGAAATGTACCAGGAGGCACAATTAAAGCGCTGGGATTGAAACAAAGCGCTTGGCAGCAGTGTCAGAGCTGACAAAAACGCTGCCAGGCTGGAGTTCTGCACAACGCAGTTACCCCTGCGGGTGCAACAGCCCGGACCTGGATTGTTCCATACACATCAAGCCTCACCTATGTTTATGTACCAGCTTTCATCACACACCCCAGCAGAACCTGGGTTTGACCCAGTGGAGCTCGGAACCAAGCTGCACTGGAACCTGGCCCTCACCTCTGGCTCTCAAGCATCACAACAGGCTCCTCAGCTCACAGCCATGGCTCAGGCAGGAGGAAAGGGTTTGACAGCGAGCCCCTCAGCGGGGCAGCAGCTCCGGGGTGGCAGCAGAAGGGGCAGCACTAAACAGCACGTTTGCAATGGACATCTACCAGCAAATACCCCTCATTGCGCAAAAGGTGACACCGAACCACAAGGGAACGGCGTTACTGGACCCCACGAGAGAACCACCAGCGACACGGGCGGTAACGGGGCAGGAAGAGGCAAAACTGAGCCCGCGATGGGATACACCAAAGGGAAAGCAAAGCAAGGCACGGGCGGGATGCCCCGAGCACCGCAGCAGCTCCTCGGTGCCCCTCAACAACCACGGTGGCACCAGCACAGAGCTGGAAACCCAGCAAAGAGCGGCCCAAAGGGAGGGACCGAGCGGCCCCGAGCTGCCGCGGGCACCTCCCCACAGCGGGGCCCCTCCCCGGCAGCGGCCCAGCGCCCCCCGGCCCTCGCTGCCCGCCCCGCCCGGCCCGACCCGGCCCTGCTCGTACCTGGCAGCGGCGGCGGCCGCAGCGCCGGTGCCCGGCCCCGGCACATCGCGACCCCAGGCCTGCTACCCGCTCGTCTGGCGGCTCCGCTGCCGCCCGGGCCGGAAGCGCCGCCCTCGGAGCTCCTCGGGAGTTGTAGTCCATCCGCCCGCTCCTCTCCGCGCCTTCCAGCACAGCTCGGACTACAATTCCCAGCACCCCTCGCGGCCCCGCACTGATTGGCCCTTTCTCAGTCACTCTATGCTACAACCACTGTTGCTACTGGCTTGGTTCGGCCTCCTCCAGGGACCAATCAGACGGCGGCAGACCACCGCCTCGGGCCACGCTGCGCTGTGCCGCGCTATTGGAGGGAGGAAAGGCGGAAACCAATGAGCGCGGGGAGGGGCGGGACGGCGATCACGCCAGCTGCTTCTGACTGGCTGCGTCTGCAGGCAGCCTGACCAATAGCGATGTGGGCAGTGCTATAAAAGCTGCCGAGGAGGAAGCACGCTTTCTTTTACCGTCTGGAGGTGAGTACGGGCGCCGGTACCGGTGCTGATAACGGGGCTGTGGTCGGTAACGGGGCTCTGACGTGAGGGCCGGGCCGGTGATGATCTCCTCCATGTACCCTTTCTGACACCTCGTCTGAGGGCGGCGGGCGGCCGCGGCCCCTGCTGAGGACGCACGGCTGAGGCCCGTGGGGGCGGCGGGGCCGGGCGGGCGGCGCGGCGGCGGGGCCTGCTCTCACTGCGCTCCTTTCTCTCCTCAGGGAGCCGGATCGCAGCGCCGAGGGCACGATCGCGGCGGTACCGGGGTTGGAGCGGTGCAGGCCGGGCCCCAAGGGGAGCTGCTGCTGCTCCTGTGCTCCGGGTGGGGTTTGAAGCACAACGGAGCCGCTGAGGAGCTGGGTGCGCTAAAAGAAACCCGAGGTCGATTTAACCCTGCTGCATGGGGAAGGTTGAGGTAACCGTGGGGGGAGCTGAAGGGGTTTGCAGCGTGATCTGCAGGGCTGGGTTGTGTAGAGCTCGTTGAAATGATGTCAATCTCGGCGCCCTTAGTGCTAACGAGCTTTCTGGTATATAAGATGCTCAGTTGATGTGCTTTACCCATCCTGAAGCCAGCTTAAACCCTTGCAACTGTTCCATGCTGTATTGGGCCAATTTTAGAGCTTAAAGATTCTAATAAAGTTTTGAAAAGACTTGTTTTGCTTTTGCTTCTGTTATTATATCCCTGGTATATAAAGCCAGATTGAATTTAAACTCTGCATTAGGGTACCTGGCAGAACTTCTCTCTTACCTTAAGGGCAACCAGAGCATCTTGATACACGTGCTACAGCTCAGCTTAGACTAGAGCCCTTTAATTAGAATCATAGAATTGTTTAGGTTGGAAAAGCCCTTTAAGCTCACCCAGTCCAACCATTCCCCAGCACGGCCAAGGCCACTGCTAACCCATGGCACTGAGGCCTCGTCTCCACGGGGTGTGAACACTTGCAGGGACGGTGCCTGCAGCCCTGCCCTGGGCAGCCTGTTCCAATGCCTGAGCACCCTCTGGGGCAGGAATTGTTCCTCAGCTCCATCTAAACCTGCCCTGGTGCAGCTTGAGGCCGGTTCCTCTTGTCCCATCCCTTGTTCCTTGGCTAGCCCAGCCCCTCCTGGCTCCATCCTCCTGTCAGGCACTTGTAGGGAGCCATCAGGTCCCCCCTGAGCCTTCTCCTGACTGAATCCCCCACATCCCCAGCTGTCCCAGCACAGCTGTGCTCCAGGCCCTGCACCAGCATCTCAATATCTTGCAGCATGTTTGATGCCCTCATCCAGATCATTAAGACATTAAACAACTGTCCCCAACACCAAGCCCTGGGGAACACCACTTGTGACCAGCCAGTGACTGGGTTTAACTCCATTCTCACCACTTTTGGGCTCAGCCAGTTTACCCAGCAAAGATTATGCTCATCCAAGCCAGGAGCAGCTGGTTTCTCCAGGAGAATGCTGTGGAAAGCAAAGGCTTTAGTGAAGTCCAAGGTAAGACACCATCCACCGAGCAGCTCACCTTGGGGAAGATCAGGTTGGTTAGACATCAGTCATGATGTTCCTGCTGCATCCAGTAAAGGATGGAGATTCCCCTTACCCTTTCCCTTCTTAATGGATTTATAAGAACATTTGGAATGGCAGTAGCCAGGTTAAGACAACACAGCACCTGAGCCCTTGCTGGTCATTGAAGGCTCATGATGGGCTCAAGAATGAGCTCTGATTCCCCCAGTGCAGGCATCTCCATTGGACAATCAGATCCCTTTGTAGCCAGAGGGGTTATTAAAAAACTTTATTAACAGGAATGAAACCAAAGCTGTAACCAGGAGGCAGCAGAACACGGGGTTGGGGCTGTGTGCGCGGCCGAGTGGGAGCGCACCCGGCACTGGATTCCTCATCGCTTGGTGGCAGTAATGGCCCATGGAAAATCAAACCCCAAGCCATGGGATACCAGTCCTGCGGCTGGGAATGCTGGGGGCTGAGTCTGCCTTAGGGGTCAGGTGTAACCCCTCAAAGGCAGTTGTGATGGGTCTGCTGTAGCAGAGTTAGCTCCCAGTTGGCTTAGTTAAAGCACTCCAAAGGGCAGCATTGACATCTCCCTTGTTTAAATCAGTTTTTAAACTGGTTTTGGTCCCACATTGAAGTGAAGAGCGGACAGCTCCTTCTTCAAGACAGCAAGATAGATGCAAGACTGTTCTGCCCTGGGAGAAGGCAGGCAGCCTGATGGGAGCATGGTGAATACCACTGCTTATAGACTCCCTGTAGCTTTGTGTCTGTGCAACGAGGGGTACTGGGGACAGGAATGTGCTGAACAGAATGAGAAC